TTAATTATTTTTATTAATTTATGTCCATTTTCTCATAAGAAAATGGACATTAACTTAAAAATATTTTATATATAATTATCAGTCAAAATAATTGAAAGATAAAGAAGAATGACCATAAAAATATTTAGACTTTTTAAAAATAAATCTAAAATTTTTTTTTAATTTTTGTTATTTAATTGAAAAAAAAGATTTTTAATTAAAAAATATTAAAAAGTTACAAGGGAAAAATGGGCAGAAAAAAGGTTAATTTAAAAACAAAAATTTAAAAGCAATCTAAATAAATAAATATAAAATTTAAACAAAAATTTTGGAAAGTTTAAATGTTTTTTGCTTATTAAAATTAGCCTGTTTTTAAGTTTAATTTTTTGTGAGTAAAAATATATTTTTTAACATTCATTTAAGAAAAAATTATTAAAATATTTAAATAATTGTTTAAATATTTAAAACAATAATTTAAAAAACTCATCCTCCCTTTTTTTCATAAATAAATATTTTATTTTTTAAAATATTGACCAAAATTTTTGAAAAAGGAGAAAAGTAAATATTAAAAAAACAAATAAAAATATTTATTTATTTATATATTTTTTCAATCAGTTTCTCCTTTTAAATACTTAAAATATTAAATTTACGCAAAAAGGTTGTAAACAGTTAATTAAAAATAAAGCTTTAATTCTAAATTATTTTTTCTCAATTTTAATTCCTCCTCCTATTTTTTGTGGGAACTAAGTATTACAAATACAGTTTATTTAACAAAATATATATTTTTGTAAAAAATCTTATTCCCCATTGATGTCCTATATTTTTTATTTAAAAATACCTTTAATTTTTTAATCAAAACTCTTTTTAGCATAAAATCCCTTTAATAAAAGTATTTTATCCCAACGGTGTAAATTTGCTAAGAATTTAAAAATAGTATACCTGTTGTTGTTGTTGTTGTATTTGTTGTCTCATTTCTGCTACAACTACCCATGGATCCATTATTTTATTTTAAATTATATTTAATTTTCTATTAAAATATTTTTAAATAATTAGAAAAAAAGCATTATTTCCCACAATTTTTATTTTTCTTCCTTTTTTCCTCAAAAAATATGCGGGTCAAAGTAAATGATTAAATTAATTTGGATAAAAATTAGGGTATAGTTTAGTTGAGGACCCGTTTCAAATCGGGTCGAATCATATGTCATTCAATTCGTCTCGGTAAGCTGAATCTAGTGTGGAAATTTCTTTAGATCGAGATATTTAGGCCCCTAAAAATTGAAAAACCAATGGGGGAGGGGGGAGGAGGAGGCTCAATTTTGGACTGAAAGAATCAAATATACAAACAAATTATTCAAAAGAGCAAGTCAAGTTGATTCGAAAAAGCAGCTCGATTCGAAGATTCCGAACAAAATTGGAGAAGTAATTGGAAAAGAGAATCTTTTTATAGATATGGACAACCTGTAAAGTGTAAATCTAGATAGGGATTTAGTATATCTTATTTTGATTCATTTGTACTTCTATTTTGGAGAGAAAAGAAAAAATTAAATTGTGGGAGATAATTTTAAAAACTTTAAGGAAATTATTTTGAAAAAAAGAGGGGGGGAGGGGAGGGGGGGTTACTAATTTATTTTTAAATAATTCTAAAAACTTTATTTAGAAGATAATCTCTTTCTTTATTTTATTATTTCCATTTTAGCAATTCTTGAAAAAAAGTAAAGGATTAACGAGAATGACTTGAGGAATTTATTTTATATTTTCTAGTACTGTATTTAAAATAAAAGAATTTTTTAATTAAAAATTTAAATTCAAAAAAGGGGGAGAAAAGGGAGAAATTAATTAAAGTAGCTAGCTAGACATTTGCCGGATTTAATTGGAAAGTTTTGAGTGTTAAAAGGAAGAGGAGAGAGGTGGTGAATGGAAAAAAGAGAAGAAGACAGCCACAATTTATTAAAATAATTTTAAAAATTTAAATAAATTTTAAGTAAAATTTTTAAAGAATTTTAAAATTTCTTTTAAAAAATGAGAGAAGAAGAAAATAATTCTAAAAACTTTAATTTAAGACTTTTGAAGGATTGACAAAAAGAACTTTTTAAATTGATTTAAAAAAATTAATTTATTTAAAATTTTAAAGAAAGTTTTTAGAAATATTGAAAAAGAGGAAGAGGGGGGGAGGGTGAGGAGAAAAGAAGGATTTTGTAGAGAGAAGGAAGGGGAAAAAGAATATATTATATGTACATTTACCGAAATATAACCATCACCGCCACAGTCTTCATCTCCTTTCCCTCCCTCCTCCTCCTCTCTCTCTCTTTTTCCCCCCAACAACCCTTAAAATCTTTATTATTTTCCAAAAGGTGAACAAATAATAAATATGTATAAGCAAAACGAAGTAGAGAGGTAAAAAAAAGAGAAAGAAAATACGCCCATTTTCTAGTTTTTAGAGGTTCGATTGCGGTGAATGAATGAGAGAGAGGGAAAGAAATGAAAAACCTTCACCGGAATATTCGAATCTGCTGAGTGCTAAAGTAAAAGAAGGGAAAAAATTAAAAATAAATTTTGGGGGGATTTAAATTTAAAATTAATTTATTATTTTGTAAAATTTAAATTTTTGTCTTTATTTTCATTAGAAATCAGGTTCGGAGTATATTGGTAACTTTAATTTAAGACTTGTTTCCATCTTTATATTGGAGGTATATTTACTTTCAAGGGTTTTTTAAATTTAATTAAATTAAAATAAATAAATTATTCAACTCTATTTTTATATTTTTAATGGAAAAAGCTAGAAAATAAATTAAGAAAAAAAGATATATGTATATATTTAAAGTATTTATATCGTTTCAAATTTCAATTTTTTGTTAAAATAAAAAGAAAAAAATATTTTGAAAGAAAATTTTTGTTTTTTTAATTTAAAATAAAATAAATAAATATTTTTTAGTTAATTTAAATTTTCTTTTCCACTTTTTTGGGTCATAATAATTGAAATAAAATTAAAAAAACATTTTTGCTTTAGGCAAAATATTTTTTATTTTCTTTCTTCCGGGGATAAATAATAATAACACTTGAGGGGTTTTTTGTTTTTGGGTTTTTGTAAATGAGGGAAAAACATATTTTTGTGTGTAATTCTTTTAATTAATTTATAAATATTTTGTCTGAAAAATTAAAAGAAAATTAATAAAAACAAAAGGTATTTACTCGTTAATTACCCTCTCTCAAATAATTACTCCCCTCCCCTTTCCCCTAATCAAATAAATATATTGTCTAGATTTTTGATAAAATAATTCCACACAAGAATTACACACAAAAAATATACCCTAAAAGCTCTAATAGAAGCAATGTGCTTCTATTTCTCGATCCTCTCGTTTGTGCTTCAATTATAGTAATATTTAATCGTAGGATTTGGTGATTAAGAGGTGGATAAAAGGGGTATCAGAGAATTTGATTCTCATTAAACAAAGTTTCTCGAAAGGAGGGCTCTGGATCCGGTTGGTGTTTAAAACGGTTCTGGAGTGGTGTTTAAAGACGTTCACTTCACTATTCCAGTAAAACACCCAGAGTTATGGCAAACACGCACAATACTGACCATTGGTTCTTATCTCCATCCATGAGTTTGTAACTTATAAGTTTGGCCATTTTTCCACTTTTTGGAAAGAAAAAAAGGAGTATATGAAGTTGAATTTTATCGATAATTCTTTTATTTTTTATTTAAAAATAAAAATTTTTTTAAAAACAAAATTTAAAAAATTTAAAATCATTTATAAAGACAAACAACATAATTTTTCTCAAATTAGAAATCGAATATTTTTTAAAGATTTTTTAATTAAAAATATTTTTAAATAAAAATCTTTATTTTATTTTTTAATCTTTGCTTTTCTTTCTTTCATTTCTTATGTATTTTAAATTAAAATATATTCATTCATTGACCACTTGAAAATTTAATTTTAATATTTTTTTAAAAATTTTTGAAGAAATTTCCCTTTTTTAAAATAAATTATTTTTAAAATAATTATTTATTTTTTGGCAAAAAAATCCAGGAAAACTTTTCTTTAATTTTATTTTTTGTTTCGTTCCGCATGAGATTATAAATTTTCTTAAAACTTTTTTAAAGGAAGAAGCAAAAAATAAATATTTAATTTTTTTAGTTTAAATTGTTTGCGCCATTCTCTCTCTCCCCTCTAACTTTTTTTGTTGTCCAACAAAATACTTTTTAAATAGTAAATGGCCTTCCCATAAAAATAATGAAATTTTTTGTATTAAATTAATAAAAAAACTTCTTTTTTTCTGGATCGGAAATTGTAAAAAAATATTTAAAATATAAATATTTGGTATCGAAAATATTTTTTAGAGTTTTGGGAATAAAATTAAAAAAAGAATTATCAATTTTCATTGATCTTAAAGAAAGTTATGACAAAAACAAAAGCGGCGGAAAAGTTGCTGCACCCTTATTTATTTTTTTAATTAAAACAAAATCAAAATTAATTTTTTTTTAATTTTCAAGCACAAAGTAGCCAACATAGTGAAAAGGCTCGCTTTATTGAGCTAATTTTGAACAACACCATCAACCGCAGCCAAAAAGCTGCAATTATTAGGCAGTTAAAACGATATGAATTCAAACCAGATCCTGTCAAGCGGTGGAAGGATGAGCAAAAACGTAAGGAATTAGAAATGTGTGGGGAAGCGAATCTTCTGAAGATGAGGAAGAGGTGATTAATCTATTTTTATATTTACACCTCTTCCTCATCGTGATTAATTTACTTTTAGGAAGAAGATGATGGCTACAATTATTTAGTTGGAATGACGTTTCTGGAATTAAATAATAACAACAACAAATTAATTGCTGAAAAAAAAGCAAAAAAGGAATTGAATATTTTGAAAGGAAAGGAATGGTTTGATTTATACGAGGAAGACTTGAAAACATTTTTGGATGCTTTAGATGCAAGGTTGGGTATTTAACAAAATATTTTTCTTAAATTCCCTTGAATTTAAAAATCTTAAATTCCCTGTCAATATATTTGATGTAATTTTCCTTTTTTTAATTTTAGGAAGAGAAGGAAAGATTCTGATTTTATTGTAAAGAAGAATGAGAAGCGTCGACAAATAATTGACAACGACGATGAACCTGAAGTAGTCGTTAAGAAGAAGAAAGAAAAATAATTTTGACGGGGTTTAGTAAATAAAATTTTAAATAAATTGACTTTTTTTCATTTTTGTTTTTGTTGGTGGCGCACTCTTTTGTGGTGCTACATAGAAAAACTTTTTTTCTGAGTCTGAAACTTTATGCATTTTGAACCATCTTCTTTTACCTTTCGACTATGAAGATTGCCTAAATCTTACTTGCCGTAAAACAATTCTTCCCTGCTCTATTAAATAAATCTCAATATATGTATCTGATGTGATTTTCCTTTTCAGTCATTTCGTATTTAATTTTTGTTTCGTTTCATTTGTTTGAAGAAAATCTGAATGACAGATTCAGATCAGTCCAATTATAAAAAAGATGCCGCATCTTGAAGTCTTTGAATGATACAAAAATTATTTCAGATCGAACAAAAAATTTTAAACGTACTCTGAATAGGCTTGCACTGAATCGACCTACAATTTAGAAAGCCTTTTTATTGCCATAATTTTTGTTTTATTGGTTTTATTTAGTTTTTACTGCAATATTTCCCTAGATTTTTTATTTTTTTAAGATTTATTTCAAATTTCTGTATTCATTTTCTTCTAAAATGAGCAAAAGCAAAAATGACAAAAAACAAAATATTTCCTCGGATTCTGATAATGAGGAGTTGGCATTAAATGTTTTTTTTAAATTTAATTTTCTTTAATCTTTTTTTGTTTAGGATGATGAATTTGACCTTTCAATGGATGAGGATGAACGTGAACGTTTTAATCAAATGTCTGAAAAAGAACGAGAAATTGAAATCTTTAAACGGCTCGAACAACGCGAACTTATGAAAACGAGGTTTTAATTATAATTTAGAACTTTTATAGAATTTTTAAAGGGAGCAAATAAAGCGTAAACTCGAAATGGCTGCAGGAAAAAATGAAACAAACATTGTAAAAAGGAAACGACGATTATCCCGTGACACTGATGATAGCGATAATGAAAAGAATGGGGATAAAAAAAGTTCTGACGAGGAAGGGGAATTACCTGCTGAAGATAAAGGTTTAAATTAAAAAGAATAAATTTTTTTAATTTTAAAATTTGTGTAGATGAGACTAGTAGTGATGATGACGATAATATAATAAATAACAGCAAGCCTAGTTCTTCGGTAGAAAAACATAAGCATAAATCAATTACAAAAATGTCAGTCAGCACAGCGGATATAGAAGATGAAGACACGGCCTACCACAAACCTTCAGAACTGGCAAATAAATACAATAAGAAAATGGCAATGGCTGATCTACTCAATAAACGGCGGGATAAAAAACAAGGTTTTTTCGGGACAGATTTTTGACTTTATTTTTATTTTCCTTTTTAGCTGAAGAAAAACGTAAAAAAGAAAATCAAAAAGCAGCTTTGGATCTCGACGAAATTTTTGGAAAAGAAGATGGAAAATCTAGTAGTTCTAGTTCTCCTGCTTCTTCGCGTTCTTCTAGCCCTGTATATGGAAAGTCACGATCCCCTTCTCCAGTCGCCCAGCCTGTATATATTTCATTCTAATTTTCTCAAATTTTGCTTTTTTCGGCAGATCGAAAAAATGGATGATCTTTTAAAATGCCAAGCAATTCGTCGACGGATAGCCAGGATTGTTCATGCCCCTTTCTTCCACAAAACAATTGTTGGTTGTTTTGTTCGTGTCCAAATTGGCAATCATGAAGGGAAGCCGACTTATCGAGTTTGTTCTCGTTATTTAAAGGTCACAATCTCTTTGTAGATTGCCCAAGTTGTTGATGTTGTTGAGACTGCTAAAGTCTATGAAGTGGAACCCAATACCGACATACGCACTAATAAAGGCTTAAAACTTAAAGTTTTTTTTATTTTTTTTTAAATTTTTAATATTAAATTTTGCAGATTTGCAATAACGATGCTCAACGTGTCATTCGCCTCGAATTTGTTTCGAACAGTAATTTTACAGAAACTGAATATTCATTTTGGTTAAACAGAATGAAAGAAACAGTTGATAATATTTTATAGTAAAAAATTTTTGTTTTTTTGTTTTCAGGAAACTTCACTTCCAACAATTGATTTTGTTAAGAAAAAACAAAAAGAAATGCACGATGCGTTAAACTACAAATTTACTGATTCTGAAATTAATTTAATGGTTCGGGAGAAGCAGCGTTTCAAAAAACAACCAACGAATTTTGCTTTTGAGAAGTCGGAGTTGATTAAACAAAAGGTTGGTTTATATTTTTTAATTATATGTATAGGAATGGTAATAAGGCGGGGGAAAAAATAAAGCTTCACCTCTGTAGCTCAGACTATAGAGCAACTGCAAATGTGTAGGCGAAGCCTAGCGGTTCTCGTCAGCAGAGAGAGATGTCTCTCTCATCTTTCTCTCATTCCATTCCTCTCAGCGATTAAACTTACAATTAATTAACTCTCTATAAGATTTGAACCCTAACTTCCTCCAAAATAAAATTTTAAATATTTTTAATTTAAAAATACAAGGACAAAAATATTTTAAGTAAAAGTAGTTCGGTTTATATCCTACTTTTTTCCTTTCTCACGGTAATTTCATTTAACCATCAACCAAAAATAGACATAAACCAAACTTTTACTTAAATATTTATTAAGTAGAATTTAAATGTTTTAAAAATCATTCTGAACTTTTTATCATTCTTTTTCTCTTCTTTAAACTGCCACGTGTTCTTCATTTCCATTTTTTGGTTCATATCTTTTTTCCATTTCTTGTGCGGGTGCTGGTGGCACGCGGTGTACATAAGGGCTGTCTGCTGGTTGAGGAAAAATATCTTGGCCCACCCATTGCATATATTTTATAAATGTTTCGACAGCATAAATTACACAAAGAGCAAAACAAAAAATCTGAAAAAAAATAATTTGAATTAAAAAAAAATCATTTTTTTGTATTTACTGCTCCCATTATTGCTGCCCCTCGACTATCTGAAAGACTTCCCCATGCCAAATGTATCATTAACCAAATAGCGATAAAGAAAAGTAAAGTATTTAAACCATAAAATATAAGTTCCTAAAAAAATTTGAAAAAATTTTTTAAATTTCTTTTCTCTCCACTAACCACAACAACAAGTCCTTCTCTGTTACGTTCATCTGATAATGATAAATGAGGGAAAACTACATAAAGAAGAATTAATATGCAAACAACAATTGTTGTTTCAAAAGTTATATGAGCAGTCCATGCTGATGCAGTTGAACGACGATCAGCACAAATAGCCAAAATAAAGGCAACAAACCCTACTAACTGAAAATTTAAAAGAAAGGGAATTTTCAACAAAAAAAACAAATTCAACCAATTCTGCCAATTTGAGAACTCCAGGCAAAGTAACCAAATAACGAGTATTTAATTGCTGCTTTCGGCCATCAGGAATAAGTCTAACTTTGGCAGCTTGCATTCGATTAAACGGTTTTGAACCAGCAGCATTCGAAGTATTTGGAGTGGCCATTTTGTTAGTTTGTTGGGGGGTAATTGTTGTTGTAAATGGTGGAGGAACTTCTACTGTTTCAGCAATATTTTCTTTGTTATTTTTTGTGGTGGTTATAGTTTTTTCAATAACAATTGGGGTCGTTGGAAGTGTGTTGACAGGTTGTTGTTGGTGTACTTGTAGTGACCTAATCGATTTTTTGCGGGAATGAGAAAGAATTACTTTTTTATTTAAAAAATGTGAATTAGAGATGGGTAATTTAACTTTTTTTTTAATTTTATAAACAACTAACTCGTCTATTTCTGCTTGAGTTGTAGTATTATTGGTAGAAGTTTTTGTATTTGTTGTTGTTGGTGGTGGTGATTGCGTTTCCGTCTCTTTTAGATCAATTTCTCCATTAGTTTCTTTCAACATTGTTTTTTTTAATTCTTTAAATTCTTTTTTAAATTAAAATAAGTGTAAAAATTTAAAATATTTTGGATATATTTGTAAAATGTTCGAATAAAAATAAGTGTGTTATAACGGGGAGGACGTCCATTGCTTATATCCTAGCCATGCGAGGAATGATTATGCGCGAACTTTGAAAAATGTTGCGAATTTAATATTTTTTGTTTATATTATTTGCTTGCAAAATATATAATAAAAATATTGTTGATTAGCGAATGGCCTTGATGCGCGGTGTTATTTTCAGTTTATTTGTGATTGATTTCAAATCGATTTAATCATAAACTTTAAGTGGAAAAATAAAAATATCCTTTCAAAAATATTTGTTTTATTTATAATTTTTGCCTATTTTTTAAAATTAAAATTTTCTGTTAAATTTTTTGGAACTAAAAAATTACAAATATTTTTAAAGGTGTTTCATTTCCCTTTCCTAACTGTCCAGCCAGCCGGTTTCTAACCTCTATCCATTCTTGGCTTTTTGTCTAGAAAATATATATTTACGATTATAATACCGATGATTTTCGCAGTGCGAATGGTGTTTGTTTGTTTAAGTATTTGTTTTAGTGTAACTATTGAGAAAAGCGGTTTTTAGTTACTTTTATTCTTTTCCTCATTTTCTTGGCAGTACAAGTAAAAAAATATTTAAAAGAAAAGTTGGGAGAGATGATTGGAATAAGTTAAATAAAATTATATGCCTTATTCATTCAATCATTACTAATGAAAGTAACGGTTTAAAAAAGAAATATATTTATTTAAGCTACCGGGGGAGGAGGGGGAAATAAAAAATTTTAAAAGAAAAAAATGCTATTTAAAAAATATATTGAACATTTTTATTAAATTGTGAAGATATTTTTGTTATTCTTTGTTCTTTTCCCTAATAAAAAATGAAAAAAATGCGACTTAGAATTGAGAGGAAAATAAATAGGAAAGATTATAATCTTGTCATTATGTAATCCTTTCTTACATTTCTATTGAAATTGGGTTATCTTTAAAAGGTGTCAGCGGAAGTGTAAATTCTTTTTTAATATTATTTTATACAAACATATTGGGGATGGGCTTTGCCGCATTTTAAAAAGCGGAATAAAAAATGTACGGCAAACAGAACGAGGAACCGTTATCTTATAAATGTTATTATAAATATAATATTCTGTTTTATCAAAATTTGACAATAAAACATAATTTATATATGTATGAGATATACAACAATTAGAACAAGAAATTATTTTGAAAATTTCCAAAAATAATTTTTCTTAAATTTTTCAGGAAGATGCAGAACAAAACGGAAATAAAGAAAAAGTACGAGATCTCCAACACCAGATTAACGATTTGGAGGAAAAGGCAAAGAAAATTGTAAGAAATAATAGAATGTGTCCAATATTTGATTATAATTTGGAATATTTTCAGGAAAATCAGCGAACAAAAAATTTAAGTGCAGTTACTGCAATAAACCAACGGAACCGAGACCATATGAAACAAATTTTCCTCAGTGCAGAACACATGCAAAATAATGAACATTTTCGTGTAAGGGATGATGATCCTTTCACAAGAAAATCTGCTCGTATGAAATTAGTTACTGGTGTGGCAAGAACAAAAACAGATGGAGAAGGTGATTTTTTTGTTTATTTTAAAATTTTAATAAAATTTTTAAGGTCTTGATGTTACTACTGGCTCTATAAGTACGGACTCATCTTTTTCGGGTTCACCTTCCATATTAAATAAAAGTAGTAGTGCTGTACTCCCACCCCCCGGTGATTTATTTAGTGCTCATGGAATTGATATAAATATTGACTTGGACAAAGTTTTGCCAGGTTTTTTCTTTTCTTTTCTTTTGTAAAAAATTTTCAAAAATTTATTCTTCAACAGTAACAAGTGGAATCTCGCTTCGTGCCCCACCAATTGCTTCTGTATCATCAACAGGTTCTCAATATCCACAGCGAGCACCTCAAAAGTCATCGAGAACATTAACTCTTGAAGAATATAAAAGAAAATATTCATCACGTTTGACCTAACTAATTGAAGAAGATTGTTATATAATATTTGGTTGAAGGGTGGGGGAATTTTATTTTTTTTATTTTAATCCAAAATGGATACAAATCTCACCCGAACTTAATAATTTCAAACTACATTTTATTTTGTAAAAATTAAAAACATTTCGGGTTAGAGTGAGATTTGAATGTCCTTTTTTTACAACTTTTCATTCTTATGAAATAAATATTTCTAACATTTTTCTTTTATTATTTTGGTAAACAAATAATTATAAAAAAGATTTTTAATATTTTTCGAAATGTTTAAGTTGGTAAAGACGAGTTCTCCCTTCCTTAGTTCCAATTGCAAAGAAAGCACCTTTTGGTGAAAAAGCACACGTTGTTAACCTTTCCTTCGAAAAGTGTTCTTGTTTTGATGGAAAATTTTGAAAAACTGTCCCGCTAACCAAATGTCCGAGTCTGACTGCCATTTTCTAAAAGAAATTTTTTAAATATTTTTTAAGAGAAAATAAAAATACCTTAACCGTTGAACCCATAGCTAATAATTGGGCATCTTTACTAAATTCAAGCCAAGAAATTGATGTTGTTAACTGATCAAAAGTTGCAAATAATAAAGGACGTTGAGATGAATTTTTCTTTTTATTAAGCCATTTATAGTCATTCATATCATAAACATTAACTATTCCAGTATTTGAACTAAATATTTTTTTGTTAAAAAGTAAAAGTTTAAAAAACATACCCGCAAGCCAAAAATTGTCCATTTAAACTAAAAGCCATACAAGTTGCTTTAACACAACCTTCATCAAAAAACTGTATCATTTCAGAGTATTTTATTAAATTCCATATATAAACAGTTCCATTTACTATAAAAAAAATTTAAAAAAAATTAAACAATTTTTCCTTACCAGCTAAAGCAACAATTTGTTCTCTATTAATTGGTGAAAAACAAAAATCAACAATATTTTCAGCTCCTCTGTAAGTATGTAAATGATCCATTGTCTTAAAAATTATTATTTTTTTATTTTAAAATATTTAATTAATTACTTTAAATAAAAACACAAAAATATCAGCATTATTTACTAAATAAGCAATATAATTTCCATCTGCAGAAAGTCGAATCTTTCTTGCTGACGATTTGTCCATAGCTTAAAAATATAAAGAAAATTATATTTTAATTTTAATTAAAAACCTTTAGGTTGTTTAATTTGTGTAATTTCACCGATTAAAAGGTCATAAACATAACAATCATTCTTAAATAAAATGAAAAAGTATTTCAGTTAGACTTCAATTTTCAACAATTTAAAGTACTCTTTTAAATTTGAATGGCCACATGGTCCCCAACATTAAATACACACGATTTTTCGACCCAAGGGAATATGAAAAATCCTACTGCAATTAAAAACAACTTACTCGATTATCTGCACTAGCAAATAAAGATCCTCTATCGAAAAATGTAATATTATCAAAAGAAATATTTGGAATTGTAATATCTTGTAAAAAGAAATTACTTTTCCTTAAAAGTAAATTATTAACATCATCACAAATCTTTAAAAAAAATTAATTTAAAAATTTTATTTTTAAAAATAAACCTGAAAAAGCACTATCCTTCCTGTCGAAAAAGCACTAACCAAAATAGGCATCGAAGGATGAAATTTTAAACAATTTACTTTACCCTATAAACAAATCAATAAAATATTTTTTATTTAAAAATTACTTGTTGATGGCCAATAGTGGGGTCTCTAAGAAGAGTAAATTTTAATTCTTTTGCTGGTAAAGATTTTGAACCAATATTAGTGTTGGCGGCAAATCTTGCTATTGAATTCAAAGCTGAATCACACTTTTCATCATCTGGAAGCTTAAAGATGCAAAAAAAACTAGAAAATCTTTTAACCTTCAGGTTTAACCCATTTTTGAGCTCCTCGTCCATATATCGAAGATGTAATATATCGCTCACGCAAGCGTTTCTGTGTCATCTAAAATCGAAAACATATTTTACTATAAACGAAGAAACTCGAGAGGATTGGCAGAACCCAAAGAAGGTATGCAGAACCCTGCACAAACCTTACGTGTTCTGTGCGCAAGTTCACCAAGATCAGCTTCAACATTTCTAACAATGAACGGCTCTTCTAGCAACTCTCCATTATTTGGAAATTTGTCATCATCATCGACCCAGGCTGGTTCCATTTTTTGTTTTAACTGTGACAAAAAAATGTTTCGAACTCGTAAGATATAAAATTAAGTATAGTGTTTTTCAACGCAATCACACAACACAAAATTTCAAAAAAGCTTTATGAATATATTTATTAAATGACCAAAGATGAACACAAAAAATATCATAATTGAAATCAAATATTTTAAGAGGTTGTTGTAATAACTAAATAAAATAATATAGAGCTTAAAAACATCTTTCCTCCTCAAGAATAACAATTCTATCATCTAATAAAATTTTTTCCATAATTACGATGACGAGCTTCCAAGCTATTGAGGTGAAGCCGGCGAATACTTAAATGAAACCAAAGTTGGAAGAATAAAATGTAGTAATAAAAAACCTGCGGGCTTGACGGAGAATACTGTGGCGAATTTGGGCTATACTGCGGACTCGACGGTGAATATTGTGGTGACGATGGAGAATATTGTGGAGAAGTAGGTGAGTACTGCGGACTCGATGGAGAATATTGCGGTGATGATGGAGAATATTGTGGCGAGCTAGGGCTATATTGTGGGCTCGACGGTGAATATTGCGGTGAACTTGGACTATACTGTGGGCTGCTAGGAGTATACTGCGGGCTTGTTGGTGTATACTTAAAGGTATATTTTAATCAAATTTTTCTAAAATTAAAAACCTGTGGAGATGTTGGCGAATATTGAGGAGAGGCTGGACTGTACTGAGGACTGCTTGGCGAATACTAAAATATTTTAATAAGTTTAAAATTAATAGATTATGTACCTGAGGACTTGTAGGAGAGTATTGAGGTGAAGTAGGACTATATCGAGGTGAAGAAGGTGAATAACGCGGTGATGTTGGAGAATACTAAAACATCAAATAATTTATGTATAGTTAAAAATAAAAACCTGTGGACTTGTAGGAGAATAACGAGGAGAGCTTGGTGAATATTGTGGAGAAGTCGGAGAATAATTAGGACTTGTAGGAGAATAATTGGGAGATGTAGGTGAATAGCTCGGTGAAGTGGGAGAGTAACTTGGCGATGTTGGACTGTATGATGGACTGGTAGGCGAATAGCTAGGACTAGTTGGCGAATACGAAGGTGAAGTTGGTGAATATGATGGTGATGTTGGGCTATACGAAGGGCTTGATGGCGAATAACGTGGAGAAGCCAATGATGGACTCATTTGTGGACTTGCTGGAAGATAACGAGGAGACGATGGATTATAAGATGGGCTTTGAAGAGCACTATAAGATGGTGAAGCGCTATATGATGGGCTAGCAGTTGCCGGTGAAAAAGCTAAAATGGAAAGGAAAATTAAGGAAAAGTTACAAATAATTACCTCCTCCAACTGCTGGAGAGAAAGCAGCCGATGGAGAGAAAGCCACACCCGGAGTCATTGCATTGCCAATAGGACTCCACCCACCAGAATAGGAAGGTGTTACTCCTGCATTCCAAGGCGTTGCAGCCGGACTCATTGCGGAGCTAATAAAATATATTTTTGTTGTGATTTAAGTTCATTGTACCTAGAAGGCGAGGAAAGTCCATCATGTCCTGTATAGAAGCCGCCTCCTCCAACATAAGCACCTATCTGATTTCCAGGAATGTCCATAGCTAATTTGCATTTTTCAGAGTCGAGAACCATGTCGAAACATCCAGTCCCTGCTTTGGACATTTGTCCTAACATAATATTCTCAGAAACACCTGAATAAAACACGATAAAAATAAATGACAATAACCAATTAACCTTTAACGGGGTCAACTTCTGCATGAACGGCTGCTTCCATAAGAATATCAACAGTTTCTTCGAATGAGCATCGCATCAACGCACCAACTTCTTGTCGATTAATTCCATGTCGAGTAATTGCCATTAAATAACCTAATATATTCGAAATATTAATTTAAATTTTTAAATTAAAAATAAGTTACCTTTAGCAGTCATAACGTCACAAAGCAACGCCAAATGTCGATAGTTCACATAAGAACCGTCAAAAGAAATTACTTGATTCATCTCGCGTTCAATTGCTCGACGAACAGCCTCGATTCCAAGCACCTCAAATATTTCACAAATATCATTGCTATATGTTCTAACACAATCTACATCTTGTTCACTCAAAACCTGAATAAATGTTTTGAAAAATATAAATGAATCACACCTTAAGCAAAGCAGTTCCATCAGTTTCAAGTAACCATTCGGGATGCATATGAAACTCTCCCTCTGATGTAATTGTTACTCGTTTTTTATCATCAGTCATTGGTTTGTGCATATAAACTTTAACTATTGATTCAATTCCTTGAAGAGTAAGATCACTAAGCATATTTTGCTCCAAAGCTCGCAGTAATTGATCGTCTTCCATCTTATCTAATTGATCCTAAACAAAGTAATTATAATACAAAAATTTAAAAAAACTATATGACTGACCTCGCCCTCCTTATCCGAAGATGCATTACTAAGCCGCAAATGGAAAACAAGTTTATCTGCATTGTCATCTGTGTATATAACTTGCAAGTCATCTTTGAATGATTGATTTATTCGTTCAGCAACTGCTTCCATGGAAAGCTTCTTATCAACCATTCTTTTTCTATCTAGTTCAAGACGAAGCAACCAAGGCGAAGCATTTGAAGGATCAAAATCAGGCATCTCATAAAAGATGTTAACCCAATCTTGATCTTCTTCAATACAAGTATTCCGAGGATCAGGATCATAATAAATTGCAGTGTTAGCTGTCACTTTTCGTAAAGTACAATGTTCTAAACGGCACAGCACATCTTTCGCCTTCTCAGCGTCTTTAGCAGCAAGACCCTATTCAAAATTTGTTATCGTTTAAATATAAATGAAAAACCTTTAGAAAAACAGTCAAAGATGGAGTTTTCGGCTTCTTCGAAACGTTAATAATTTCCTTAAGACGCGGCACACCAAGAGTAACGTTTTTAGCAGAGACACCAGCGTAGTGAAAAGTGTTTAAAGTCATTTGTGTTGCAGGCTCACCCAAACTTTGTGCAGCTAAAGCACCGACCATCTCACCCGGCTGAACTATTGCTGTACAAAACCGTGTCTCAATCTCTCCAAGAAGCCACTCAAAAGCCTCTTCATTGAGTTTATGTTGTTTGGCCATTTTGAGTGAACATAACATCGATCGCAATAAAATGTTCATCAGAATTGTGGCATTTTCTTGTGCCTGTTTACTGATTGAATCTTCTCCCGAAACAATAACAAGCTTCTTGGAAAGATCACGCACACCTTCGATTACTTTAATCGGACTCTGTAATTTTTTAAACTATTGTAATTTATAAAATAAAAAAATATATACCAAATCGACAGGTTGTCTAAGATTAACGTGAAAAATCTTTTGTGCGTTTTTGATAAAACGATTTAGATTACATGGAAGATAAATTTTGACACTTGGTCTTGGAAAAATTTGTCGAAGTGTTTGTCTATCTATTTGAAGCTGTCGCCATTCATCCTCAACAATCTTAAGAGCTTCAGCAGAATTCTGAATATGAAATTTTGTTCAACTAAAGAAATTTCCAAACCGTAATTTGTTTGATAACATTTTCTGTGTACAATCTTCGCAGCTGCTTTTCATTGCTCAAATCTAACTTAAACTCTCTTTCAAACAACATATTATTTGGTTTTAAAGCCGGTAAATTTTGATCTTCAACCCACATACCATCCAGTCCATCTTCACCATAACGTAATTGCATTACAGAACTGACAAAATAATTCAAATAAAAATATAAAAAATATACCCGACAGAATTCCTAACAGTTCCATCATAGTTAATCATTACACTTTCCATAGCTTTAATCAAACGTCGTTGAATGTAACCGGTTTCAGCAGTTTTAACAGCTGTATCAATCAATCCTTCACGTCCACCCATTGCGTGAAAAAAGAATTCAGAAGGCGTGAGACCAGCCAAGTATGAATTCTCAACAAACCCACGAGATTCTTAAACAATAGGAGTCTAAATTCAATTTTTAAAGTTAAACCTGGGCCATAGTCGTCCTTAATAAAATGTGGAAGTGTTCGATGACGGAACCCAAAAGGAATTCGCTTCCCTTCAACATTTTGCTGACCGACACAAGCAATTACCTAAATCGAGTGAAATTCAATGTTATTAAATATGAAGATGTTCTTACTTGTGAAATGTTAATTTTTGATCCCTTAGAACCGGCTACAACCATAGACTTAAAGTTGTTAGCCTCAGAGAGTGATTTTTGTGCAGAAGCGCCAGTTCTATCTCGAGCATCGTTGAGTATACGGTTAACAGCATTCTCGAAGGTTTGCCTCAAAGTATTTCCAGCTGTCGGCTCCAATTTGTCATTGTGAGCATCTTCTATAATGTTGATTACATCCTGTTTGGCTTTTCTAATAGTCTCTTGAATGTCGCGATAAGTGGCTTGATCGGCGATTGTGTCACCTAAACACAAAATAATTGTTTAAAAATGTTTAAAATCACACCAATTCCAATTGTGTGGCCTTCGCCTAACAACCAAGCATTGACTACAGTTTGTATATGCGAATAAAAATTAGCAGCAATTTCATGACCAAGCTCCAACGCAACAATGTGAAGTAGATTTCCAGAACCACGGCCAACTGTTTTCGCACAAACTATGCCAGAAATTAGATCACCGTTTTCAATTAAAACTTTTGTATCTCCTGGTGAGATCCATTTATAAGGGCCGCTATCTTCGTCATCTGGATGCGTTGAATGCGTTCGTTCAACATTTACAGTTCCTAAACGAGTAAAATAAAAGCTAGAATACAATATTCAAACCAGGAATAATCATAGAAAAAATCTGCTTCCCAGTCCATAAAGGTTTTGGTTTAATAATTGCAGGTTGAGGTATTTTTCCGTCCCATGTAGGCATTTGCATTAATAAATCCATCAAACGTGGATATTCAACAAAAACATCTCTTTTTGTCATCATTCTAACAGCAGTAAGAGTATCCTGCACAATACCCATGACGGGTTTGTTTGCTTGCGGAGTAATTAACTGTTTGGGTACCTTAAAAATAAAAAGTAAATGTAATTATATTAATTTTTAATAATACAATTGCAATTTCGCTAATCTCCGCACGAGTTTCCAATGATTGAGGTAAATGCAAATTCATTTCATCTCCGTCAAAATCAGCATTATAAGGTGTTGTAACAGACAAATTCATACGAAAAGTAGACCAAGGAAGAACTTTAATTCTATGTCCCATCATTGACATTTTGTGTAATGTTGGTTGACGATTAAAGACAATAATATCGCCATCTCGCATATGACGTTCAACCTTGTAACCATATTGAAGGTGTAAATCTGCGGGACGTGGATGAAAACGCAAGTCAATTCTAGCACCATTATCACGAATAATATATTTGGCACCAGGATAATCACGGTCACCACATTCAACGAGCCTTTGAAGACTAAAAACAAAAATAAACTTAAAAATGAGCATATTAACTAATTTCCTTACTGTTCAATATTAAATGGCGTCACAATTTCAGGAAATGTTAAGTTCTGAGCGATACTTCTCGGCACGCCAACAGTATCAATAGGCAAATTTGGATCAGGCGTAATGACTGTTCGAGCAGAAAAATCAACACGCTTGCCCATAAGATTTCCACGAATACGTCCTTCTTTGCCTTTAAGACGCTGATTTATAGATTTTATAGGGCGACCGCCTTTTTGATGTGCCTGTATGTAAATTTTATAATAAATTATTAAAATCGAAAAATGCAAAAACATACAACTGCAAGTCCAGGACTACTGTTATTAATCATTGTGGCAACATGGTATTGCAACAAAATTACATCCTCGGCAAGTACATGCGAAGCTGCACCATTCGCTTCGTTTCTGAAAAGAAAAAACAAATAAATTAATTGAGAAAATAAACCGTTTTAATTGAATATTTGCCTTAACAATTTCAGCCAATTTATATGTCAAGTCGTCTTGACTGGTAATCGAACTAAAAGTCGTTACAGAAGGTCGGACAGCTAACGGAGGAACAGGAAGCACTTGACATATCATCCAATCTGGTCTAGAGAATTCTGGACTCATCCCTGAAAAATAATTTTTAATTAAATAATTATTTAAAAAATACCAAGAACTTCGCAGTCCTCGTCAGAAATTCCTTTAAAAATTTCCATAGTTCTCTCCGCAGTCAGTTGAATCTTCCTTTCCTGCGTATCTTCATTAACGTGCTTTTTCCATTCTGCTTCAATTTCAATACCTCTAACACGTTTGTAAGATGGTTGATAACGTCCACATCCACCAACTTTAGTCTCCTTTTCAACTGTCTCATCATCATCAGGATTAGTTACTTCTTCGGCACCCTCACACACATTTTTTGATTTACAAACATCATAGACTAACGTAATACGCGCTCGCATATTATGTTGAGTTTTCTTAATTATTTCTTTAATTCGAACATCATCTTTATCAACAAGTAATCGACTGCAGTAAAAACAAACACAACGAAGAACCTTAAAAAAATCCTTGTAAGCCTTACTAATAGTTAATATTCATACCTTTAAAGTCTTTGCAATAAAAATTATATTATAAACTGGCTTAGCCAACTCCAAATGAGCAAAATGTCCTGGGCATTCGTTGTAACTTCCTGCACATGTAATACAAACTCCTCTCTTTTCAATAACGCCTTGTCTAGGATCATTAAGTCCTTCAAATTTAGGTTTTCCATTTTCTTTCACTTCTGGAAATTCTATTTGGCACACAGACATACGCTTCTTAAAACGTATTTGGAATCAAAAAGTATATCAAAAAGTAGACTTACAATCTCATCTGGACTTAGAATTCCAAACTGCACCCTTTTTACCTCCCGAAGTGGAGCTTTGAAGTCAATACCAACCAGTGACATTTATTTTCTAAAAATCAAAAACACATATATTTACTTATTAATATGAATGGCAGTATTACAAATATGAAAAATCTACGAGTATCTGGCCTTTTCAGGTTTATGTATCCCAGACCAAGGAAAAATTCCAAATTAAAATGTTTCATAAAATCCGAACAAAAGGCGATTCGGCCCACTTAGTCGCGGACCACTTAGTCGCGACCATTTAGTCGCAGGCCACTTAGTCGCAAGTCCACTTTGTCGCAGGCCAAGATCCTTTTTTCAGGTCGCTTAAAACTCAAACGTCCCTGTTTGTCCCCACACAGACGGGGACGTTTGAGTCAAAAATTCTTTTCATTGTGAGGTTTAGGGGGACTTTTGGGTTATGATTTTTTATATACGCGATTTAGGGGGACTTTTGGGTTATGATTTTTTATTACTATACATAGTACAACCCTAGATTTAATTTAAAATCCTGTTAGGTGAATTAAAAAATTACCATACATATACATATTTCATTAAATGCTCTTTTTTCCTATCTTAAATTTAGTTCATCCTATTTAAAATTCTAATAAGATTCTCTTTCATTACTTACACCTACAGTCGTGGAAAAAAGTATGGAAGCGCTAGAAAATTTTTTCTTAATTCTTAATTTTTCATTCAAAAAATACGTTCTATATACCAATCGAAAGCTCTATTCGTATCTCAGTTGACATGTTTCTGCATTTTTCATGAAAATGAAAATTGGCCGAGATAATCCGGATCTACCGGATATACCAAATCCCACTTTTTCGGAAAAATTTTTCGGAACAAATTTAACAAACCCAAATGATAAAGCATATTTTTCTGAGTATTTTCCACAAAACCGCTTAGAAATATCTTTTTTCGGAGCAGAGATATGATTTTTTGAAAATCGCATTTTTCCCTTAAAAATTGAAAATTTTGCAAAAATTGACGAAAAATGCGATTTTCAAAAAATCATATCTCTGCTCCGAAAAAAGATATTTCTAAGCGGTTTTGTGGAAAATACTCAGAAAAATATGCTTTATCATTTGGGTTTGTTAAATTTGTTCCGAAAAATTTTTCCGAGATTATGGGATTTGGTATATCCGGTAGATCCGGATTATCTCGGCCAATTTTCATTTTCATGAAAAATGCAGAAACATGTCAACTGAGATACGAATAGAGCTTTCGATTGGTATATAGAACGTATTTTTTGAATGAAAAATTAAAAATTAAGAGAAAATTTTCTAGCGCTTCCATACTTTTTTCCACGACTGTATTTTAAAATAAATTTAATTAAAGTTCTATTGTGTGTGAGAAGCCGTCCACTTGCTCTACAATTTTCAATCATATACATTTCACCCTATCCCTTTTTTCTTTCTTTCGCGATCATAATCGATCAAATTCCTCAGCCATTGTTGAACGACGTGACAATTCCACCCTTCTACCTCTCTGAAGTAATTCCCAATTCTACATTCCTTTACTGCACATTCTTTACTTTCAACACAAAATAGTACACCATGGCCACCCTTAATTCTCGATTAGCTGCAACCCAATACACTTAACACTCACCTAATTCCCATTATCCTTTCTTTTTGTCCACCTTCCCCTATATTTTTGCTGCGCCTGTTTTATGTAACTTCATTACATTACAAATGACTAATTCACAATAACACGATAAAAAGAATTTTAACATTTTTCCAGCCGCCGCACCTTCTTTTCACGGCCACTTTAATTCTTTGCATTCTACACCGAAATTTTGTCCAAAGGCCACCATTAGCTCCTTGATCTTTATTACACGACTAATTTCAAATGTCTTCACATCTTCCTTATCAACATTATAAAGACCGACCACCGGCTCCTGTTCGATTTTCATCATCCTCTTCATCGTCTTCTTCCACAATGGCCACGCCGAGAGTGCATCCAAGCGTCTATGAGTCGGCAGCAATTCATACAAAGGTTGAGACGTCAGAGACTGGTCTCTTTGGATTTGGAACCAACGACAAGAAAAAATCAAAGAAGAGCAAAACTACTTTTGGAAAGAGTAAATTTATAATTTATTTGATTTATTTAATTAACTTGTTTGCAGAGAACAAAGAAAAGGAGAAGATGATCGACAAGCCTATCATTTCGTTGCCATCTGATTTTCAGCACACGGTAAAATTTTTTGGACAGTTTTTAAAAATGTTCTTATAGGTCCACGTCCGGTATGACCCGGAGACTGGAGAATTTACCGGAATGCCCAAAAGCTGGGAGTTACTTTTGCAACAAAGCCAAATTAGCAAGCAAGAACAACAGCAAAATCCTCAAGCTGTTCTTAATGCCTTGAAATATTTTACTCGTGGTGAAGGTGGTGGCCAAAAATGGTTACAAGCTAGTAATTCGTCCTATGACTCTTCTCCACTTCACTCAATTTTCGAACATCAAGTATCGCTTCAGTCTAATGGTTCACAAGAACAACATTCTTTTACACATAGTGGAAATAAACATTTGGCTCATACACTTAGTTATTGTACTGGATCATTGCCTCTTTCGCCTAAACGCAATGGTTCATTGAATTCTGGTGGCCAAGGTTATTAAAGGAAAATAAGAGAATAAAACCTATTATTTCCTAGATCAATGGAGTGTAGTGGAAGCAGAAAGAGTTGGGCAAATGTCTGAATCAGCTGCAACTCGGAGCAGTATGCCACCAGTAATATCTTTTTTTTGTTTTAAAATAAATCATTAAAATGACAGGGCTATTCTCCTCCTTCAGCTCCACAGGAACCAGATGAAAATATTAAAGGTGATGATAAACCTCCGCCTCCAATTCCAGAAAGACCACAAAAAACCTTGTCGATTTATACAAAACCACGTGAGGAGGAGGAAGAAATGGCTGAAACCCGTCGTGATCCTTCAGATTATTTAATTCCGAATGGGCAGTTTGGAAGAAGAAATGCTGGACCAAGACGACGGCCTACAGATGCAGAAGTACTTGTTAAACTCAAAACTGTATTTTTGTTTTTTCAAAGAAAAATTTAAAAAATCTTTTCAGATTGTGAGTATGGGGAATCCTGATAAAAAATATCAAAAACAAGAAAAAATTGGATCTGGAGCTTCTGGTTCTGTATTTACGGCCATTGAAGTAAATACTGGAGCGGAAGGTAAATTGAATGATTTTAATAGGAAAAAAGTAATTATTTTTAGTTGCCATAAAACAAATGAATTTGAGTCAGCAACCAAAGAAAGAATTAATTATCAATGAAATTTTAGTAATGCGAGAAAATAAGTAAATAAATATTTTTAAAAAAATTTTTCTAAATTTTTAACTTTTCTCATTTATAGACATCCAAATATTGTAAATTATTTGGACTCCTATTTAGTTGGTGGTGACCTTTGGGTTGTAATGGAATATTTGGCAGGTGGTTCTCTCACAGACGTGGTTTGTTTCTAATTAATTTTATGATCGCTATAAGAATATATTTATTCTAAAGGTGACGGAATGCCAAATGGAAGAAGGAATGATTGCGGCTGTTTGCCGTGAAGTGCTCCAAGCATTAGATTTTCTCCATTCCCGACATGTCATTCATCGAGATATAAAATCTGATAACATTTTACTTGGAATGGATGGTTCAGTTAAACTTACTGATTTTGGATTTTGTGCTCAAATTTCTCCAGAACAGAATAAAAGGACAACGCTCGTTGGGACGCCTTATTGGATGGTATGGTTATTTTTATGTAAATATTTTAAGAATTTTTTAGGCGCCAGAGGTTGTATCTCGTCAACAATATGGCCCAAAAGTGGATATTTGGTCGCTTGGAATTATGGCTATTGAAATGGTGGAGGGAGAACCACCTTATTTGAATGAAAATCCTCTTAAAGCTATTTATTTGGTTAGTTTAAATTTTTTTTAATAAATAAACTACTTTTAAATTGTTTTTAAATTTTTAAGATTGCCGCTAATGGGCGTCCAGATTTTCCAAGTCGTGAACAGATCTCACCCCTTTTCCGTGATTTTATTGATGCTTCATTAGAAGTGAGTTTAATTTTCAAGTGAGGGATTGAATTTAGTTTTGGAACATGACCTTCCTTTATAGGAATTTTCCTAATGAATAATTTGGGGGGAAACTTAATTATGGATATATGAAAAGTTATAAATTGATTAGAATATTCGTTTTAAGGTCGATGTAAATTCACGTCTCTCTGCTAAGGAACTATTACGACATAATTTCCTTAAATGTGCCAAACCTTTAAATGGATTGCATTATTTAATCGAAGCTGCAAAACGTTCAATAGCAAATAGTGGTTAAAAAGAAGTTTTAAAAGATTTATTTTACCCTTTAATAGCTGTTTGTATTTTTGGAAACAAATTACCAATTTAACCATTTTAATCCAAAAATCATCGAATTCCTCATATTTGTAAGCCTTATTCTTCCTAACGTTTGTTCGGGTCCTTTTACTTAATTCATCGACATCCAACTTTGATTTTTGTCTATATATAAATAATACATTCAAATATATTTGTTCATTTATTTGAATTTTGCTCATTCCTTACCAATTTTTAAAAAAGGTTTTTCATCCAATTTCATTCACGATTTACTTAGAAAATTTTAAAAATTTATTTACTTAATTCTTTTGTTTAAATAAAAGTATAATTTTGTTTAATTTTTAAGGAAATGTTTTGTTAATTTTTGATATTAAAATTAGTATCTCCCTCCTCACCACCTGGCTTTAAATATACATAAATCTCACTCCCTCTACTGACAAAGAGACAAAATAATTATATTTATACATGTGCAAATTACAATTTGTTTAAAATATACAATCTAAGGATAAGGTCCATCAAAATCCATTAGCACCAATTTCGTATCTTCTGTTCCATTTCTTGAACCAACTGCACAAACAAGCATTGTAGGGGTTGCTTTCATTCTAACAAAAATTGAAAATTTATTATTATTCATATTCGAACATTTTACCTCCAAACACAACCTCCAGCACCACTGGAAGGTAATTTAATTAAGTCGCAAATAAAACTTCCTGAAAAGCCAGAAAAGAATATATTAACTAAAACAAAGCTTTAATTAAATTATTTCTAATAAATTTTGACAAAAAGCTCTAATTTTCAAGGGTTAAAGGTTCTTTTGGTTTGGCTCTATTTAATTTAGTTTATTAATGTAAACCAGAATAATTTTCCATTATTTTTTATTTCCTCTTTAACCAACCTTCTTCAATATCCCACAATTTTACAGTTCCATCATCTCCACTTGTAGCAATCATTCCATTATCGAGAAATCTAAAGCCTGTCACAGCTGAAGCATGTTTATTTGGCCCGGCAAGTGTGTGGATACACGTTCCATCTAAAATATTCCAAACCTAAAAATATTTGAATAAAAAGCTTTTTTAAAATGTAAACTCAAAAAAATCTCTGTTTGGACGTCCCCCTCCCCCCCCTCATTTAATCAAAAATTTACTTTAATTGTAGAATCTGCATTAGCCGAAATTAATTTATTTCCTCTCAATTTCATTCCAGAAGTTAAAGATTGGTGCCCAACAAGTGTTTGACTTTAAAAAAATTATTTAAAAATATTTCTTTAAACTTACAGGCATTCCCCTGTTTTTACATTCCAAACTCTAATTGTTGTATCAAGAGAACCAGAAATAACCAAATTACGTTCTTTAACAAACTAAAAAGAATTATTTTTTGTCCAAATTAAAAATTAATTTTTCTAAAAAAATACGTGTAACGAATAAACTCTGTGTGTATGTCCCTCCAAAACATGTTCTAAAGTCCCATTTTCAGCATTCCAAACATGTATTTTATGATCATAACCACCAGAAACAACTGAGGACCCAGCATATTTAACACATCTAACGGCTGCTAAATGACCAATAAATGGACGAATGCAACGACCTTCTTCTATATTCCACATTCTAATTGTACAATCACGAGAACCTGTTACCAAACTAAAATAAAAACAAAAATTAAATCGAAAATATGCTGATTTTGGAAGATCTCACAATCCTGAAAACTAATCCCGTTTACTTTCCTTTCAGGCTCTTTTCCTCTTTTTTAGAGGAGAAACAAATTTTTGCTTGATAAGAGGAGAAAGAAGTAAAAGGGAAAAAACAAAAATCTGCGGACATGAGGGGATATAAACGCAAAGTACCCCAAAAAACTAAATACTTACATATTTCCAGATAAAGACATGCACCTAACAGTACTAGAATGTCCATTTAAACAACGCATCAAAACACCAGTTTCAACATTCCAAACTCGAACTAAAAATAAATAAAAACTTTTATTTAAATTTAAAAAACCAGTCCTATCAGTAGAACCGCTAATAGCAATTTTTCCGTCTTCAGATAATTGGAGTGCCCAAACACCTCCAGTATGTCCAGTTAATACTTGAGTACATTCTCCCGTCCCTACAGACCAAACTCTTAAAGTACAATCATCAGAACCAGTTACAAGACGATCACCACGTAATTTTAAACAAGTTATTACCTTTAAAAGAGTTGTAAAATAATTTTATAAAAATTAAATAAATTTACATGTTCATCATGTCCTCGTAAATGACAAATTGCATTTGGACGTCGAAAACGCCAATTATTAGAAATATGTTGATTTCTTAAATAAATAGCCTTCCATTTAGATCTTTCCAAACAAGACGGCAAATTTAATTGTGAAAAATGTAAAGAAGATGAAGGTGATTGGAATAAAGATTTACAAAAAGATGAAGAAATTTTTGAAGAAAAAGATGAATCTCCGTCAAAATAATGGGGGGATTCTTGTGGAGAATCGACTAGTCCAGCAGAAAACAACGCCCAATTTTCTCTTCTAGCAAGACTTAAAAAAATTTGTTTAAGAAAAAAAAAATTTTTTTTAAAAAACTTTGGAGGGAAAATTTCTTTAATATTATATTGAAAACATTTTTTCATCCAAAGAATGTGATCCTCGGCAAGATGACGCCATGTACGTGAAATACTTGCGGAAAGCACCAAATCTTTAGGAGACAAGTAGCTAAGAATTTTGAATGAAAGCTTAAAAATAAAAAAATAAGAAAAAATAAAATTGAAAAAAACCTCTTTTGGAAGAAGACGAATGAAATCAATTTGGAAATATGGAGCAATTAAATTATGTAAATGCCTAATTTGGTATTGTTTACAAGTTGGAACGAGGGAATTGAGTGCTTCGAGTTGAAGAGATTCGGGCATGTTCTTATAAAAATTAAAAAGTTTTGTTTAAAAATATTTATTTTGTTACCCCAAAAGTTGATAGCCATTCTGTTATAGTTGGATCGGCTTTGAATTTAGTAGTCCTAAAAAAAGTCTTTTGGTCAATTATAAAGGAAAGGCTGAAAATGAATAATATTCCTCTAAATATTCCATAATTTCTTCAGTTAATTTTCTTTTACTTGCTTAGAAGCATGCCATACCAATTTGGGGTAGTCCTTTGGCCCTCCAGTCAATTTTTTGTAGAAGATGTACAAAATGGTCAGGGAATAGTGAAATCATAGAGCTCATCGAGTTGAATCCCCCAGGATTCTGTGGTACATATCTGAGCTGAGTTACAGGGGTCCAAACATGTCCAAAAAAGATTTCGGAATTGCAATAAATATATATTATTGCACTAAATTTTAAAATAATTCTTAAAAAGTCCTTTTTGCTTTTCTTTATTTTGATTGACAAGAAAAGGAAATTTAAGGAAGAAATTATAGTAATATTTTAAAAATATAATTCAATGTCCTCTTCCTTTATAGCAAGACTAGCTTTTTTATTAATGATTTTAAAAATACCTTTCAAATTGAACAAATTTTTTCTTTGAATCAGTAATCATTTGAATTTTTGCTATATCATTACTTCTTTTCTAAAAGATAAAAAGATTTAGTTATTTATTAAATAAAAACTCGTTGATTTTGTTGTAATGTATCCTTTTTAAAAATCTTTTCACTCATAAAATCAAAAGAATAATTAATAAGTCTTTAGCAAATTTTATAAATCAGAAGTTGAAGCATTCTAAAAAGATGACACACTTATTCCAGTTGAAAATGTTCTAAATACTTATTAACATTATTTAGTAATTCGCGAAAATCAAAAGTGAGCGCATTGCGTTATTTGCGCTAATTTTTGTTGTTGCGTTTTAGCGAAATATACCAAAAGAACGCCACAAAAAAGGTGGAATTTTGGTTTACTGGGCTAGAATTCCAGAAAGAAAGCTACTTTTAGATTAACTATACTTAGTATATTGGATGGATAAATATCAAAACATAATGATCAAAATTTTGAATTTTGCGTTGTGTTTTTTGAAATTAGTTTTGCGCTCACCCACAATTATCCACAATAACGGTGGATTATGATTGGGTCATTTTTTAAATTTTTTTAGAATTTATTTATTGTCAGAGAAAATGTCAAATTATACATATTTTAAACTCGTTGATATATTTTAGAATGTACAAGGGGAAGTACTAATTACTTAATTAATACTCGTAATTAGTAGAGGGAAGTACTAATTACGAGATTTCAATTATCCTTCCACACCGTTTTTCACATTATTGGAACCTATATTTATTAGATTTACAGATTTTTTGCTAGTTTTATTCGAATTTTTATTTATTTTAAAGTATGTCAGAATATGTTGAACCAAATCCGGAACCCGGCAAATTTTATCGTGGATTGATTCAACAATTTGGGTTTGATTGTTAAATCATTTCATAATATCTTCAAAAAATTTTTTAGAGGACCAAATGCAAAGAAACTCGACAAGAAAGACATTCTCGAGCTTAACCGACTTTGCGCTGAAAATAAATGGGACATGGTTTTTTTAATAAAAATAGATGGTCAAGTTTTTTTTAATTTAGGTCAACAATGTGCCGCGTTCTTTTTGGCTTATGAATGCTAAGGATAGAGCGATTGCTTACAAAATATGGTTTAAAATGGTTTTTAATTTATTCTTTTTAAAATTTTAATTTAATTTTTTTAGGATGTTCGCAATCCTTATATTGAGGCAAAGATCTTTCCAGTACTTCACAAATGGCCGAGGGCTACTCCATATATTATCGCTAATCGTTTCGTTGTTATTACTGCAATGTTCTTTATAGGTATTTGTTTGTATTTTATTAAATATGGGTATTTATAAAATGCACTTAAAAGAAAGGATTCGAAAACATTTTAATCTTTTAATCTATTTGAGACAAAATATCAAAAATTCCGAAACTATTGAGTGTTTATTTTTGCATTTGACTGTGTTGTCTATTGATTAGAGATTGGACCAAACAAATATTTTGTCAAATATTTGATTTTGCCGTTTGTCCGATCTCTACTATCGATCTCATTAATTAAAAAAGGACATTTTTAAATTTATTATAAATAACCACTTTTTATAGTTCCGAAAATATATGAATGGGTTGTTCCGGCAAGTTATCGCTGCAAATATAATCCAAATGTTTGAAGATTATCTCAAATTAATGCTTTAGGATTTTTCTTGTATTTAAATTTGTTGATAAATGTATTTGATTTATTTTATGAATTTAATCGTTAATTTTGTTATTTTCACAATTTAAAATATATACTTAAAATTTCACTTATAATTTTAATTTTTTTTATGTTTTCAAGAAATGTTAGCTTCTGAAGATATTGACCCTCTAAATAATTCTGACATTAATGACCAACAAGAAATATTTTCTGAAATAATTTCCAACGACAAAACTGATAAAAATGGAGATATAAAGGTTTTATTTTGTTTAATATTTAAGTTTTATATTTGAGGACACGACAAATGGTGATCAACCTGCATTGGATGGGGAGCTTCAAGTTGACATTTCTGATGCTCTTTCTGAACGTAATAAAGTTAAATATACAGTCCATACAAAAACGACGTTTCCTGAATTTTCAAAATCTGAAATTTCTGTCGTTAGGGAGCATGACGAGTTTATTTGGCTTCACACATGTTTGGAAGACTGCGAAGAGTATGCCGGGTTTATTGTAATTTTTTATATTTATTTTTAAATATCTTTTAAATTGAGATTCCGCCAGCACCTCCGAGACCTGATTTTGATTCTTCTCGAGAAAAACTTCAAAAACTTGGCGAAACTGAAGCTACAATGACTAAAGATGAATTTTCTAAGATGAAGCAGGAACTTGAACAGTTACTATTTAAATTTAAATTATTTTTTAATTTAATTTGTTTTAGAGAATATTTGGCACTTTTTAAGAAGACCGTTGCAATGCATGAATTTTTCTTATGCCGATTGGCAGCGCATCCAGTTTTTCGTAAAGACTCAAATTTTAGAATATTTTTAGAATACGAACATGACGTAAACTTATTTTTGTAGTTTTTATTTAGAAATTTTTTTACAGCTTTCTGTGCGTGGTCGAAATAAGAGAGAAGTTTTCGGTTCGTTTTTCAAACGTTTTACTCAAACTGCTGACGAGGTGCTACTTTCAGGACAGGTAAATTATTATATGATTTTAAATTTACATTGACTAAAGACTTTGGTCAATCAAGAGAAGGAGTGAGGGGGGAATATCTTTATCTTAAACTGATCTCACATAATACTTAAAAGTTCAATTTGTTTTATTACAACATTTATTGCCATGCGTTTTGGTTTTCCCTCTCACTAAATAAAAACATAAAGATTACAAATTCATTTCCTTTTTTAAAAAAATGTTTTGCTTTTTCATAAAATAAAAAATTTAAAAAAAATTGCAGAAAGACGTCGACGATTTCTTTGAAAGCGAAAAGAATTATATGCTTGAATATTCTACTCACATTAAAGAGGCGATGATTAGATCAGATAAAGTTTGTCGACTTAGACAAAGTAAGTGTTTTTAATTAAAAATTTTTTTAATTAAATTTATTTTTGGAATTGTTTTTTTTTCTAAAAATTAATTTAGTTAATTAAATTTAATTAAATTTGTCACTTTTTGTTTGTTCTATTTTTGGCTGGGAAATTTATAATAGTAATCAATGTATAGACAACTCTTCTTCATGTGTTCCTTTTTCCTCTCTGTTCGATCATCTTTTTTTCCCTTTTTACTTTTTCCGTTTAAAATAAAGAAAAAAATTTTCGGAAATGATTGGTAAACTGGAAATTTTGTGTGTAAATACTGAGAAAATAAATTTAAAAAAATATTTATTTTACGCAAATGATTTTTAGTTTCATTAATTAATTAAAAAAACTTTAAATAATAATTCTATAAATATACTTATTAATTTTGATAAATAAAATACAGACGTTGCTGATTCTTACACGAGAATTGCACATGGATTGGAGAAATTCGGACAATTGGAGGGCGTTGGAGGTGAAAAGGAATTTGGACGTTTTCTGATGAGAACTACCGAATTATTCGAGAAAATGAAGAAGGCAGAATCTCGCGTTGGAACAGATGAGGAATTGAAAGAGGCGGATACTTTTCGTTATTTTGTGCGTGAATCTCAGGCAGCGATGGTGAGAAGAGAATTTTTTAAAAAAGAAAAACATCTCTAATAATTTTCTAAAGGATCTTCTCTATCGACGTCGTCGTTGTTTGGCCAATTATGAAGCGGCTAACAAAAATTTAGAACGATGTCGTGCCAGAAATCGTGACATTCAAAAGGCGGAAAAGGAGCAAGAAGAAGCCTGTAAAAAATTCGAGGATATTAGCAAATTGGCAAAAACTGAGTTATTGGTGCTTAAAAATACTCGAATTTCAGCATTCAAAAAGAATTTAGCTGATTTGGCTGATCTTGAAATTAAACAATCAAATGTTTGTTTTTTATTTAAATATCAAATTATTTCTTTTAAGGCTAAAATTTCCCTTCTTCAAAATGCACTTCGATCTCTTAAGTCTACAAGTGAAGGGGAGGGACCTTCTTCAACGACCCCAGCCGTTTAAATTACAACAGAATTAATTGATATGCGTGCATAACTTTATTATTTTTTATATTTATTTTTGGTTATTCTTTTCAATACAACATGCTTATTTTGATCAAAATGGGAAATTCCATTTTATTTTTTAATTTTTATATTATTGTTTTTCTCCTTTTACAGACTTAAAAATTTATAATTTTTGTACAATGGTTACAAAAATTTATAAATACCTAAAAATATAATCTACATAAATATATATATAAATTCTATAAATAACTTATTTACATAATTTTGCATAAAAATGATTTTCTTTTTTTTCCAATCATAAATAAATGTTTTAAAAATACATTAAATTTATTTTTATATAATTAAAAAAATAATGTTTAAATAATTATTTTAGTTGTAAGATTAAATGGCAGCTGATCCTCAAAATGTTGGAGCACATTGGCCTGGTAATAAAGATGTAAAAACTTTTATTTTTTCTCACTTATATTTACATATTTGAAGGATTATGTTTTACAAGATGCGATAGGAGTTGGAGCAACAGCGACAGTTTACAGAGTACGTGGGTTGTTAAAATATAAATATGTTTTTTGGGGTTGTGGAATGGGACAATTCCTGACCTGTTAGACGTGTACATTGTTTTATATAGCTGATATCGATTTGTATGTATATCATTGTCCCCCTTTCCAACATAATAAATTTATCTTTTACACGCTCTTAGTCTTAAATTAGATTTTAGAGATTTTAAATATTTTTTTAAATTAAGGCGCTTTGTAAACCAAGAAATGAACTTTGTGCCATAAAATGTATAAATCTTGAAAAATGCCAAACATCAGTTGATGAACTTTCACATGAAATTCAAGCAATGTCTTTATGTTCACATCCAAATGTTGTCAATTATTATACTTCTTTTGTTAGTTTTTCTTTTAAAATAATTTTTTAAATTTAATTTTAAGGTTGTTGGTGAAGAACTTTGGGTAGTTATGCGTCTTCTGAGTTGTGGGTCTATGTTGGATATTTTGAAAAGAAAAATTAAAGTTTGTGATTTTTATTATTTTTAAAAACATTTTTTAAATTTTTAAAGGCTATGGGTAAAGATAACGCTGCTTATGGTGTTTTGGATGAAGTTACAATTGCTACAATTTTAAAGGAAGTACTTAAAGGACTTGAATATTTTCATAATTCTGGACAAATCCATAGAGATATTAAAGCTGGTAAATTATTATTTGATTTTTAAAATATTTTTATTTTTAGGTAATATTTTGTTGGCAAATGATGGGACTGTTCAAATTGCTGACTTTGGTGTTTCTGGTTGGTTAGCTGCTAGTGGAGGAGATTTATCTAGACAAGTTCAATTCTTTTTTTATTAATTATAAATAAAATTTGTTTTAGAAGGTTCGGCATACTTTCGTTGGCACGCCATGTTGGATGGCGCCAGAAGTAATGGAGCAAGTGGCCGGTTTTTTAAAAAAGATTTTTTAATAAAATTAGAAATGATTTTTTAAGGCTATGATTTTAAAGCAGATATTTGGAGTTTTGGAATTCTTTGTATTGAACTAGCCACTGGAACTGCTCCATATCATCGTTATCCTCCAATGAAGGTTCTTATGCTTACTCTTCAAAATGATCCTCCAACTTTGGAGACAAATGCTGAACGTAAAGATCAGTACAAAGCGTGAGTATTTTAATTTTTAAAAATGTTGTTCTAAAAAGGTTACTAAATAAAAATGGTAATAAAAGAGATCAAGTCTTTACAAAAAAATTTGAAATTTCTTTCTTTAGAAAAATAATTTTCATATTTTTTTAAAGTTATGGAAAAAGCTTTCGAACTATGATAAAAGATTGTCTTCAAAAAGATCCAACTAAAAGGCCAAATGCTTCTGAATTACTTAAATATTCTTTTTGCAAAAAATCTAAAGATAAGAATTGGTTAGTTCATTCACTTATTGAAAATATTGGTGCTGCACCGATACTCCCTACTTTACCAAAGAAAGTTCAAAGTGGAAAATTAAAAAAGGATAAAGATGGAAATTGGGAATTTGAATATGACACACCAGGAAATGGAGATTCTGATGGATCGTCTGGAGAACATTCTGAAAATGATAATGCAACACTCCGTCCAAGTAAAACTGTGGATAGACCAGGAGTTTCTGAAGGATCAACCAATGCTCCAAAAGCATTAAATCTTGTAAGCGAAATTTATTTTTTAATTAAAATTTTATTTTAACTTTTTGGGTTCTTCGTGTTCGTAATCAGCAAAGAGAATTAAATGACATTAAATTTGACTATTCGCCAAGTACTGACACAGTTGATGGGTATTTTAAGTAAAATAAATTTTTAAATAAAATATTTTAAGTATTGCCCATGAACTAGTGACTGCCGAATTGATTGATGGTCATGACTTGGTTGTAGTTGCTGCCAATCTCCAAAAACTTATTGATGCAGCTCAAAATAAAGTAGAAAGGAGAACGATTACTTTTGCACTAAATTCTGGTGTTGCAACTAACGAAATCCCGGATGAGCGCTCGTTAACAGGATTTGCTCAACTTTCTTTAGTTGAGTAGAGAAGACAAAATATTAAAAAATTGACCTTTTTATTCTAAATTTTTTTTTGATTTTTATGTTTAATTTTCAATACATTCTACTCTGTTCCTGCTTTGAATTTTAAAGATTTTTCTTTACGAATTATTGGAAGAAATGTTAATATTTATCCTTTTAAAGATCATTACAGTTTCAAACCCCAATTTTATTTTCAAACCGAAAAATTAAAACAAAAACGACCTTTACATGTAGGGACAAAGTAATGTATTGCATATTTTATATAAAAATTATTCTGCCATATGCACTTAAAAAATGTTCCTCTGCCGATAGCTTATAAACGTTGGTCGAAATTTTAAATAAATTTTGACAAAAAAATCCTTTGAAACTTTAAAATAATAAAATTTCGACTATCAATCTTCAAATTCGCATTCTTCTCTTATTAAAATATTATTAAAGAACTTATTTCTTCATACTAATAACTATTCGGTAATGCTACATATTTGCTTTTGTCTATTTCTTAAATCTTTCGCTAATTACAAATCTAACTAGTTTTTATATTTGTCTGAAAATAAGATGGTTATTTTTTTGCCTTATAATCATTTATTTATTTCCCCTATTAGTTTTAATTATTCTGTTCAAATGTAATTTAACTAAATATTCTATAAAATGACATGTATTCTGTTAATAGAAATGTAACTTTTAAACGAAAATTAAACAGCTTTTAAAAGGTATATTTTCTAATTTATTGAAGAATTTAAAAAATAAATTGAATTTAATCCAATCAGGTTAACCACAAAGCTTGTGTTCAAGATATCAAAATAATATTAAAAGATAAAATCAAAATTTGAAATCCTTGTATTTCTTTGAAGATGAAGAACTTGACGGAGCGCCACTTGATGCTGCCTTTTTCTGCTCTTGTGCTTTTCGCTTTCTCTAAAAATTTTAATTTATTTCTTATTAAAAATATTTTTTCAAACATTTTGTCTAGCTGCATGTTCAGCAACCATATCAGAAAAGTCTTCTTCATTTTCCATTCTTATACGATTTTGTTTGCGTAATTGTTCCTCATATTTACGTTCTAAACCACCTTGATCTTCTAATTCCTCAGGTTGTAGAGATACCTCAACTCCTTCATTCGGTTCTGGCATTTTTCGACTCTAAAAATATTTTTTTCAATTCAAAACAAAAAAAAATTAAAAATTAACCGCCGCAATATCATAAACCATGCTAGGTGCCATTAATTGACCACTAATACGTTCCACTTTCTTTTCCTGTAAAACAGTATAAAGAGGTTGTGCAGGAGTATCTGCACCAGTAAGTGTACTACTTCTAAAAAATTTAAATATATTTTCTTTAAAAATAATTTAAAATTTAACGTGTCGTCGGCACCGGCTCTTTTCTTTCGCAATTCGATTGTAGATCCCGGTGTTTCTACTCCTGGAATTGTTGTAATACCACTTGGGGTGATAAAACTAAATTTTTTTTAATATTTTATCAGTGCAATTATTATATTACCCTTCTGTTGGTGCAGGTGTCACATAACCTCCCTCGGGTATACCAGCCTTTTGTTGAGTATTATCCTCATCAATATCACTATCTTCCTCCTCGTTATCACTTTCCTCTTCATCACTACCAATTTCTCCCCAATGTCGACGTTCAATTCGAGAATCATCCTCTAATTCCGATACTTGTGGAAGCTTAAATGACAAAAAAATCAGTGAGAGAATTTTAAAAAATAATTTTTTTGTTAGTTGTCCTTTCTTACTTTATAATAAAAAATTTCAATCAAAATTTTTTTTAATAACTTAACACAACCACCAAATTATTAAAAATATTAAAAAACAAACACTTAATCCAAAGACATCTCCATAAAGTGGTTTGCCATATTCATCTACAGGCGGTTTTCCCCATCCTCCAGCTTTAAAAATAAAATTTAAAATTAATTTAAAAAAATTAAAAACCATGATATCCAAAAGCACATCCTTCTGGAATTGGACAATTTAAACCAGGAATTCGTAAATTTGGATAGGAAGGAGGTGGTCCATAACGCTGCATTGCAATTAGCCATGGAGGCGGAAATTTATTTGCATTCTGTTCAAAAAATTAAAAATAAATTTTTCCCTCTAGCCTAGAAATTATATTAAATAAAGTTTCAACTGCTAACAAAATTCCAAAAGAACAATAAAAAATTCCATTACCGGTCCAACAGGCATTCCCAATGCAATTCTTAATTCATCAGAAAGTTGTCCAGGTTTCTTTTCTCTCATTTGTGCTTCCAATTCTTTTCCTTCATAATATAATTCACCCATTTTTGTCATTTGTGGTTTTGTTTGCCATTTAAAAAAAGCATCATGTAATTTCTGATAATCAATATCAATTCTTCCCAATTTTGGTCGAGTTTTTTCGCGCATTTTTCCTTTTAAGGATTGATTTTCTTCTTTTTCCCACATTGTTTCACGCATTTCCATTATCCCAGTTCTTTTAATAAAATCAGGTAATTCAAATGGAGGACGTTCAAATCCACGTTTTCCAGCCAAATATTTACGTTTTGCATTCCAATGTCGAGGTACTGGAACTGTATTTCGATAAGCCTTTAATTCAACTAAAATAAATGGATCTTTAGATGTAACATCAGCCCATTCAACAACATCTGCACGTGTTGTACTCTAAATATAAAAAATAATTTATATATTAAAGGGAATTTTATGATACAATTTGGGAATGTATAAATATACCAAAGAAGAGGGCCAATCAGAAAATAATTTTATAAGATTATAATTTAAAAAACCTACAGCTTTAAGTTCAGCCATAGAAGGTTGCAATGAAATTCTCAACTTTTTACGACTTAATTTTAAAGCTTCTCCTGATTCTTCCGCTTCTTTCTGTAAAATTTGAAAATTAAATTTTCTTTAAAATTAAACAAACTCGACGCTGTTTAAGCTCTTCTTGAAGAATTTGTTCTGAAACAGCCGCCTTACTAAGAGTATCTTGTACAACATCTAAACGTACTTGTCTGCTTTGTTCTTCTCTTTTTAGTTCATCTTCAGTTTTAATCTAAAGAAATAAAAATTAGCAAGCAAATAACAAAAATTTATTAATAAAAATAACCCTGAAAGCATTGAAGACTTTAGCAAAATATTGAAAATTGGGATCTTTATCGTCCAAATCAGGCAATTCATTAATATATTCAATTTGCACATTATCATCAATAATTGTAGGTTTCCCTTTTTCAATAACTTCTTTCCCTTCTTCAGGTTCAGTTTTAATCTCCTCTTCTAACGGTGGAATAATTGGTTCAATTTTTTCTTCTCCCTCGATTGGATCTATAAAGAAATTAAAGAGAATATTTTAAAATCTTTACAAACAAAAAAACCTTTAACATTTTGTATTTGTTCAATTTCATCATCTTCCTCTTCTATACTAATAATTTTATTTGGAATTTCTTTTTTATTAGACTTTTTAGATTCTTTCTTCTTTTTGTTTTTACGTCTTCGACGTTCAATCTCCTTAAATTTATTTGGATATAGTTTAGATGAGAATGGTCTGAATCATCACATGAACTTGGCCCCTATGGTTTTCAATTTTCAATGGTCTATCTCGGCCTATTAGCCCGCGGTTAATTAAATTTCTTCAACACAGTAAATATTCCAAAATGTATAAAGATTAAACAAAAATTAAAAAGTTAAAGCCGGTAGGTTAACAAATTAAGCTATCGAAGAAATCTTTATAATAAAATAAATAACTAACTTTAAGCTCCCTCGCTGAATGCTGAATTTCCTCATCAGAACTTGACATTTTGTAGAAATATTGTTTTAAAATGAATTATGAACTGATAAAATAAAAAAAAATTATAAAAACTCGAAAACGCAAATGCCGAAACCTCGGCCAAAATATCACGTGTTATCGGGTACTCTCCCAATTATTCGCAGTTAATAAGTATTCGCAAATTACCTATTAATCCGGATCCGATATTCGAACCGAAAATTTCCGGATATCCAGCCTTTTTTCGGATCCGGATCTGCCAACCTTAGTGCACAAGCATCCAACCGATTTCAATAGGATTACTTTGACTTTTTGAGCTTGCAATTAAATGGGGTGTGTACTAAGTTCCCAGTAAAGCACAAATGTTACCGTACCAAGAATTCTATAAAAAGAAAATTCTGTAACTAAATATTCACCATTTCTTCTACTTGAACGACTACTTCACACCTTTGTGTAAGTTTATTTATTTTTAATTGTTCTGACTATTTGACAGATTTTCTTTTAGCAATGCTGCTTGCTCAGGACTCAACAACAGTTGCGCTCTTCAATACTCTGTTGGTGGCTCTTCTGCTAATATCCGTCACAACATTATCGCTTACGGCACAATGCTGCAAGAAGAAGAAGGATAAAAAGAAGAAGGGAGGAGGAACTCATAAAACTGATCCACCGCCAGAAGGAACACCACCCGCAGAAGACAAGAAGAATGCACCTGGAGAAGGGGATAAAGAAGGGGATAAAAAGAAAAAAGGAGGCTCTTCTGCTAAAAAGGAAAAAGGCAAAGGAGCAGCTGAAAAAGGCAAGGAAGACGGGAAAGCAGCGAAGGCACTTGTAACTGCAATGGGGCCAATGACGCCGCCAACAACTCCGGCCGGCGATCCATTGAAGACCATGTTCGATGCGCAACAAATGCAGCAACTTCATAATATAGCTCCGGGACTGATCCCTGTGTTTGTTCCATCAGCGACGCCAGGAGGAAGTCCAACAATCTTCATGATGCCTTCAAAGGACATGCAATCAGTAGCAGCGCTGACGGCACAACCGGCAATGACTGCCCCTGTTGTTGCAAAACCATCTCCAGCAAAAGCTCCACGTAAGAAATTTTGGAAAGTGTAATTTAAAATTTTTTTTATTAATTTTTACAGAAAAGGAGCCATCGTTGTATGAAGCCATTGAGATCTCTAAGAGGAGCATTGGTAAGAAAAATGATGGCAAAGGCAATAACAAAAGTAAAAAGTCGAAGGGAGAAGCGACAAAGCAGGGGATGGCAGGTGTGTTTTTGAGAGATTACACATCTATTCTTCTCTTAATTTTTTTCCTTTTTAAAGATCAAGGGTCCTATCAAACATTGGCGGATATAGACGCGAATAAGCTGTTCCAGAAGAAGTGATTGCTTCAATAATAGAATTGATGAACTGAGGTATAGCTGAGAAGAATGAAGATTAAAATCAGTTATCCCAAACATTAAATTGTATTCAATTAACCCTCACTCTCTCTTAATGCTTTCCCTTAAAATCTCTAATAGGGTTAATTAGTTTATCAATAAATATTTGCAATTGTATTTTGCTCCCCTAAAGCATTTCGGCAATCCCGGAGAATCGTGGTCCCTGCGGAAAAAAATCTTAAAAATAAGAAAAAGGGTTTTTCTAGGGTAAAAAATTATGCTGATTACGAATCTGAACTCGGATTTTGAAAAAGTCGAATCCCGAACCCGAAATTCGAACATTTGACATTTTTGGAAAAATTTCGAATAATAAACTGAGCGCAAATTGGCTAAATAATATCTCATTTGAAAGAGCTCGACGAGCTGAGTCGAATGACATCAAAATCAGCCTGATTGTTCAAGTTTGGACAAAGTTATGACACAAAAAACTTAGGCTTACGTTATCTGTTTTTTGTGGTATAACTTCGTCTGATCTTGTGCAATCACGATAATTTTGGTGTCATTCGACTCTGCTTGAAGAGCTCTTTCGAATGAGGTATAATTTGCATATTCGAATTTTTTACCCCAAAATCAGCTTGGTCCCCCCTATGGTTTTTCGATATTCGAAGACTTTTATCGGGTTTGGGATTCGACTTTTTCAAAATCTGAGTTCAGATTCGTAATCAGCATATTTTTTTACCCTAAAAAAATCCTTTTTCTTATTTTTAAGATTTTTTTCCGCAGGGACCACGATTCTCCGGGATAGCCAGCATTTCTATTCGATGTAATTAAGCCTACACTTGCATGTACATAGATTTCTGTATATAACTTGTATAAATTACTTTTGCTTCGTTCTTTAGACTACTCCATATTTAAATCTGGAATTTGCTATTTTCAAGTAGTAAATAGAAAAAATTTTTTCAAAAACAAAATAAAATTAAAAAACAAAAAAATAAATTCTTTGAGAATTTATTTGGGTTGTAGTTGATTATAAGTATTGGATGAATTTGGAAATGTTGAAGAAGAAGGTTGTTGTTGCTGTTGTGATTTATTTTTTTGTTGTTTATTTGTTGTTATTGTTTCTAAGGGGGATTGGTTTTGTTGTCCAGTATTTGTTTTATAAAGAATTGTTTGACACCGACAATCTTCGGTTTTTTCAGAGAAGGGCCTTTAAAAAAAGTTTTTTATTAAAAATATTTTTTAATTACCAAAGTCCATGTTCACATTGCCAAAATGCTTGCATTTGTATTGCTGTATCTTCATCTCCTAATTCACATGGATATTCACGTAAACAACGTTCACACCCAATTAATTTACTTTAAAAAACTTTTTTAATTAAAAAATTTTTTTCTTTTTTTACTGGCAAGGACTAGCTTGTACTCGTATTCTGCCCTGTTCTCTTTGTCGACCACATCTTGGGCATTGTGCCATATCTACGCGAAAATGATCCATTCGGTGAATTGTGTGGAATACTGTACTTGTCTTTAAAAATTGTTTTTTTTGTTTAAAAAGCAATTTTGGTAAAAGTTAAGTTTGTATGACAGAGTTTTTCTCATTTTTCCATCTTAGAAAAAGTGTGGAAGAAGTTCAATATGTTAGAGGTTTGAGTAGGCAATTAAGTGTCAAATTTTATTGCTTTCGAATACCGGACCCGAATTCAAACTCGAAGGACGAACAGTTTGGCCGTAAAATTCTAATTTTTAATTCCAAAATTGAAATCGAATTCGGGATTCGAAATCAATAAAATTTGAACTTACATATATTCGAATTCAATAATTACACTTAATTACCTATGGCAAACTTTAAAATTATCAAAAAAGCACCATCATTATTTTCCTCATTTCTAGAGGAGATGGAAAAATGAGAAAAACTGTTTGTGAGTCATAAACTTAACTTTTACCAGCAATTTTTATTAAATACTTGTTGGTATGCAGTTCTTAATTTCATAGCTAATAAATCAGCAAAAACAGCTTCTGGAAGCATTTGTCGATGTTTCTCTAATTCTAAAAGAGATAAACGTGCAACAACAGGAAGACAAGCTTCCTGTACTGAACGATGAAAGTGATGCTTGAAAGACCTAAAGAAAATTTAATTAAAATAATTAAACACATTTCCAAACCAATTTAGCCAACAAAGAGCCATTAATGGAGGCTTACTTTCTACACGCTCTTTAATAAATTTTGTGCAACGCATTTCAAGTCCTCTAGCAGCAAATCTTTTACAAAGACGCATACATGTTTCCAACAAATCGTCTAAAATAAATTAAAATAAAAGAAAATGTTTGATAATTATTGAGTAAATTCAGGCTGGTCCGGGTAATGCTTTTTAGCTAAACAAATTTATTTTATTTAGCAAATTCAGCAAAAATCTTATAAGTCTTTTCACATTCTGAAATAACCGAATTGTGTGTAAAAACCAGGTTTCGGTTTTAATCCGGAAAACTCGGCTCAGATCAGTTTAAAGGAAAAGATATCGAGCCTCGAATGCTAATTTTTAATCAATTAAGCATTTAATTATTTAAACAAAATATTTAAAAAATTTTTGAGTATGATTAAATATTAATATTTAGTGGGTTTTTTAAAGAGATAAAATGTCTTTTTAGAAAAATTTTAACCAGAAATGTCCCTTAGCATTGGAGAGGGTACTGTAGTTTCCAAAAACCATTGAAATTGCAATGCCTGGGGAGGATGCCGAAGTGAAGAAACCTTTTTTGTTAATTAAAAAATTTTTTCTTAATTTTTTAAAGAAATTACTTGAATAAGATATTCATCTTCCCTTAAATGCCTTACTCCTTCCATTGGCAAAGCATGGCTTTTCAAGAAAAGGGCACGAAAAAAATCACTGGAATGGCTAAGTTGATGTTTACAAACAAGAAAACGAACATCCTTTTAAAAAAATATTTTTTTAATATTTTTTTCTATAAAATTACTTCGACTAAAATAGCAGCAGAACATCCTTCTAATCGACATTGTGGTTGTAAATAATCTAATGTTTTTGCCCATTGTTGTTGTTGTTGCTTTTTAGCAGGTGATCTAGATCTGCTACCAGAAACTATTTCTGGAGTTTTTTGTCCAAAAACTTTTCTTGGACTAGTTGATCTATTTCTTTGTTGTGCAGCTATTAATTGTAATGCCGATGGAAACTGAAAGAAAATAACCAAAAATTAAAAATATTTATAAACAAAATTGAAAATTTTAACTTATAGCGGGTTTTTAATGCGCGATTGGATATGGACGAAACAGGTGCTCGGCGAGCTAAGTCAAATGAGGTGAGAATAGTATCCCGACAACCACGGACCGAGATACAGGGCTCAAAAAGAAGCATTCTTTCGGATTGTCACAAATTTGAAAATATTTATTTTTATTTATTACTTGCCTCCTCCTTTTCCCTTTCAATCTTCTCAATAGTTCCACCTTCTCCCCCTATTCTGAATGGTGGTAATTGTGAGGAAATTGGACGTTGAGAACTGTCTGTTGCACTCTCTGCATTTGAATAATTGCGCAACCAAGGTGTTGATGATGGAGAACTTGGCCAGAGTGATGGACTTAGTAACTATAAAATAGTAAAGTGAAATTAGATATACTTGTGATATACTCAAAAACTAATAGTTCAAAATATACTTGAGGATTAATCAAATAATATCGAATCTCATCTGTATCATCAATCGGGCAGGAAAATTTTGCAATTGGTTGACAAAAGTGGGTGTCAGATTACGTGAGACTAAACCAAAATCATAAAAAAATCTAACATTAATTTGAGCGAGATTCGATTGTACCTCTAAAGGTTTATTTTTTTAGAACCTCTTGTGACGAAGTGCCTGGATCTTCTCCAGTAGAACATTTTCTTCTAGAAAGACTACTCGGTGAATGTGCCTTGGAAGGAGAATGACAAGCTGGAGATCGCCTTTTGGAGTCAGGTGAAAGTTGCAAAGATTTATTAACATGATTGGGTATTTGGGGTTGCTAAAAATAAACACTTATTATTCAAACAAAGCAGAGAATACTAAATACTCTCTTTTTTTATCAAACTACTACAATTCATGTCAGGATAACCAGAAGCTTCAAGTAAGAGATTAGTACATTAAAGAAAATAAACTGGCATGAAGGGATAAATTAGAGAGCATTTAGAATCAATTATATGTATCTCAGTCTATGTAATACTTTTGGTGTATTCATTGCCCAAAGATCACTCCTAGGTTGCCTTCTATTTTTATCAATTGAAGGTTGTTGAATTGGTACATGATTAGGCATTACTGTTGAAGGCCCAGCTAAATAACAACATTCATCTTCTTCACATTCTAAATTAGGAAAATGTTGCTGTTGTTTTTGGTGTTGTTGTTGGCCTTTTTGTGGGGAATTAGACCTCGATTTAGTGATCAATCGACGTAAAAAATTAGCCATACCTCGTAGATTTGGGTAGTATTTTTTAGTTATTAACAAGAAGGAAAGAACTTTTTAAGATTATGATTGATGTTGTGAATACCAATCAAAAGAAAATTTGGAGTTTTGCGTGTTTCAAAGCCGTTTTTGTTTGAAAGACAAAAAGAAAAGGGAAGGAAAACCCAAGAAAAAACAAACACAAAACTGAAATTGTTGTTCTGCGTGAAAGACTTTTGCTGATTTTGTTTTGGGAGGGAAAAAGAAAATAAAATAATTGCAATAGAAATATCCTATCAAAAAATCCTTTCCCATTTCTTTTGTTTTCTTCCAAAAATATCAAAACAGTTGGTTAATATATATTGGGGCTTTCTGCTGATCATCAGGTGAAAGTATTGTCTTCCATATTTTTCGAGAATTGATTATTTCTTTGTTTTATCTTTTATTGTTCATTATTTCTACCCATTTCCTCTCTATATTTTTACCAATTGCTCTATTAATATACACCAAAAAATGTGAACTCATTAAAAAGAGAGAAAAGAAAGAAAAAGAGATTAAATATATTAATTAACCTCAAAGTTACCACGTATTAATTATCGATTTGGCTATCGAAAGTTCAATAGCTCTCCAGCCAAAAAAATATTTTTTGATAATTTTTTGAATGTCAAACTAGTTTAGAAAAACCTTTTATATTAACCAAATTTTACATAAAAATTAACAGAAAATTTAATAAACCTATCCTTTTATCTCACTGTCCTGAATAAACCATCTTTATATCAATATTCTTCAACGAAACTCAAGTCATCAGATTTCTGTCCTAATTTGTTTATAAGAAACCCTCGGGCAATTACTTTCGCCTAAAATTTAAAAAGAAAAATTTAAAAATTTCAAAACAAACCTTGTTATCAGCTTTCTTTTTGGAAGGTTCTGACAACGCTTTCTTCAATATAATGAGCGCCTCTTCTTTTTTGTTAGTCAGTGCTAGAGCCATACCAAGATATGTCTGGTTGGCTGGATACCCTGGCTAAAATGAAATTTTAAGTACTTTTCCGCTAAAAGTAAAAATTACTGGCCCTAGATAAAAGCAAACAAATTCTTCGATGCTTTTAGGGTTTGAATAATTGAATGCCAAATTTTATTAATTTAAAATCCTCTGTTCCCAGGCCGACAAAATTCGAAGAAAATTACCAAACCCCACTTTTTCCAACACACTTAAAAATGATTGTGAGGACTAATTCTCTTATTAATACAACTACTATGGATATTAAATTAGTGTACTTTCTAAATTTTCAGTTATGCCGAATTGTAAAACGAATGAGATCTCCCGCCCTTTTTTCTTACCCGACTTGTTGATAAAACTAGTATAATTTGTTGAAATAACAGAAAAATAAATTTGAGGAAATTATCGATAAAAATGAGGTGAAAAAAAGAAGTTACTAACAATTTATAGTAAAAATAACAAACCTTCAAATCTTCGGCAGTTTTCAAATATTTCAACGAAGCCTGATAGTCTCCAGCAAAAAAATATTGAACACCTAAATAAATTTATAAAAAATTTTAAATTAAAAATATTTTACCCAAAAAATGATTTGAAAAAGCATCCTTCGGATCCAATTTCACCGCAGTTTCGAGATGATTAATGATTTCTTTGCCGGCTTTCTTTACATGTTTATTGTCCTTGTCCACTTGTTTGAGGAGAATAAGAGCAATGGCATACCACTTATGTACACCTGCTACACCTTTAGAACTTTCCAATTGGAGAGCTTTATTCAAATGAACAATAGCCTGCAATTTAAAAGAAAATAAAATTAAACAAAAATTAATTTAGAATACTTTCTCTAACAATTCCTTTCGATCTTCAATTGCCTTATAAGCAAGTAAATTCGCTTTTTCGACAAAAGCTCGGCCTAAACGCCAAGAGATTTCACAATTATTAACATTTTCAACTCTAAAAATTTATTAAATCTCAAAAATTTGTAGAATTTAAGAACCTTTGTAAAATGTCAACAGCATCCTCAATAATTGCCGAATCCTCAACAAATGAATAAAGACTAAATAACAGATAAACTAATTTATTTACAAAATAACCACCTAAGTTTTTTAACAACATTTTCCAATCTATGAACATTTTCTTGATACCACCCAGGCTTCTTTTTTAATTCAGAATCTGACCAACTTTGAGGTCCTTGATTGGAGACAGCAACTACAGCCGCGGTCAATAAACCAATTCCGGCATTTTTCTTAACTCCAAAACCATAAGTAAATCTTGAATAAGAAGAAAAAATATGTCGAAACATCTTTAAAATCTCTAAAAAATAAAAAATAAATATTTAGTGAACAGAAAACAAAAATACTCAAACTTAAAAAAGATGGCGGGTTTGGTCCCTAAAACCATATAGAGAAAAAGGAGGAGTTAAGTAATAAAAACTAGTGACCGGTAATTTCCGGACCCGGATTTGCAACATGAACCGGGTCAGATCCGGCCGGATTTTTCCTGATTAATCCGGTCGGTTTTAATCCGGTAAAAATAATTTCCGGAGTCCGGCCGAATTTATTCGGATTCCGGACTGTTTCCTTCAAGTTGAAAAATTGTTTCTGGATTTTTCGAAAAAAATTTTTTACTGACATTTTGCATTAAAATTTTAAAATAATTTCAAGAAGCCACGAAATTGTTTATAATTAAATCATTCAGAAGGTAGATATTAAATATTTGGGGAATATCGGGGCGGTAGGAATCGGCGGGACTGAATCGGCCGGGACTGAATTGGCATGGGACTGAATCGGCAGGACTGAATCGGCGGGACTGAATCGGCGGGACTGAATCGGCGGGACTGAGTTGTCCTGTTCCGATATCGGGGATATCAGGTAAGTTAAAGGGATAAAATTTTGAGAATTTTAAGGCCGAAGCCAAAAAAAGAAGTTGCTCTCAAACGCCACAGGCAAAATCAAAATTTTTTTATTTCAGAATGCCAAGAGTCAAAAATCCTCCATTTAAAAAAAATACAAGAAAAATGGGAAAATCCCAAAACCGTATCAAATCACAAATCCGGTGTACAAAATTTGCTGGATCCGGTCCGGCCCCATCACTAATAAAAACAAAATTGCTTCACGAGGATTTCGATATTAAGGGTAAGTTATAAAAATGCCGAAATTAATCAACTGATTCGTCCCCCTTTTTTGCCATAAAATTTGCCGGATCCGGCTCTTGATTTAGACAATTTATCCATAAATTTCTATTTTTGCAGAGAAATAATTTTGTAAAAAGTTATTAAGAAAAAGAATGAGCGAAAAGGTGGAGCCAGAGTCCTCGGCGTCAATCCAAGAAAATAGCAACCTTTTATGTGATGAACAAATAGAACAACGCTTATCCTCAGAATTATTTAATGAAAGAATGCCTTCAGTTCTTGAATTTCACAGAAAATATCTGGTTTGTTTTTATCCCTACATCTTTTAATTAAAAAAATAATTTTCTAGATCGACCGACAAAGTTCTAAATTTCGAACAGAATTGGAGGCTGAAGATGTAAAATTAGTAAATGGTAAAATATTAAATAAAAATATTTTTTTAATTATTTTTATAGGATTGGGTCAATTATCTGCCGATAAATTAATGGATTATGTTAAAGGATTACAAACAAGCGCTGTGTCACTTGGAAACGAAGAATGTTAGTTTCTTAAAGAAAATATATAAATAAATTAGTCTTATTTTAGCTTTACAATTCACAAGGGCGAAATTATTAAAAGTTTTTGAGGAATGAATTTTTTATTGAATTTTCTAACTATTTCTTTTTTGATATAATTATTGTAAATCTAAATTAAATTCATTAAAAATTAATTTAAATTATTATCTAGCTTACATATCTGTTTAATTTCTATATTTTAATTAATCTGTTTAATTAAATTTTGTTTTTAGCTAATGCAATTTTTAAATAAAATTTCTCGTCAATTTTCGAATTTGGCTCCATCTTCTATGTATTTTAAATATATTTTATTTAAAGTGCTGTAGCCTATTTTAAGCAAAAAGACATGTCTTTTTGACCTTCACATTCGGAATGGGGCTAAAATGGTTGAATTTGCGGGGTATTTAATGCCTGGTCAATACAATAATCTTTCTATTATGGACTCTGTTAAATACACGCGCTCGAATGTTGGAATATTTGATATTTCTCATATGCTTCAGGTTTTTAATTTGTCTTAAAACAGTCATAATATTTTTTAGACCATGTTGTGTGGAAAGGACAGGTTTCTTCAAAGTTTATTTTCATTTAAATTAATGATAGAGAGGAATTTTTGGAGAGTTTGACACCGGCTGATATTCAAAATATGCAATTAGATGCAGGGGCTTTGAGTGTTTTTACCAATTCTGAGGGAGGAATAATTGATGATCTGGTAAAAATTAAAGGAATTAAATAATGAAAAGAACAGTTTTAAGATTGTTGTAAGAACTAGTGACGATTTTTTATTTTTGGTTTCAAATGCTGCTAGAAGGGAAGTTGATCTTTTACATATGCAGGTATTTTTAGTTGGAATTAATTTTTTGCAAAAATTTTCTAAAATTTTCATTTAATAGTTTTTTTTAATTAACTAAAATTCTAAATTATTTTAAGATAATATTTAAAAGGAAAACGTTGACAAGTTTCACAAACATTCAAAGGATGTCCAGTTAAATATTCTCAATGACAGAGCTCTTATTGCTATTCAAGGTATTAAAATACTCATAATATTTCGGAAATAGTTTCTCAAAATAGGTCCTCAAATGGTTAATTTATTGCAACCAGAGACAGATATTAAGCTTGATAAGTTATTTTTCATGCACTCGGCGAAAGGAAAGGTTTGTGGAATTGATGATTGTAGAGTAACTAGATGTGGATATACTGGAGAGGATGGTGTTGAGGTTTAGAAATAATTTTTTTATTTAAAAAATTTTTTTGAAGATATCTGTTAATCAAAATTATGCAGAATTAATTATTGACAATTTATTACATTCAAAGAATGCACAACCAAAATTAATTGGAATTGCAGCCAGAGATATTTTGAGAGTGGAAGCGGGGCTTTGCCTTTATGGAAATGAATTAAATGAAGAAATAACACCCATTGAGGCTGGAATTAATTTTGTTATTGGTGATTTTTTAAATTATATGTTTTTTAAAATTTTTTTAGCTAAACAAAGGCGAGGTTCTCTTGGTTTCCCTGGAGCAGAAAAAATTATTGAACAAATAAATAAAAAGAATTTTACAAAGAAAAGAGTTGGACTTGTAGCAGAAGGAGGGAAAGTACCAAGAGGTATTTTTGGTAAAAATTGTTTTTAAGAGTTTGTTTTTAAAAGCTGGAATGTCTGTCATTGACCTTTCAAATAATGAAATTGTGGGTATTGTTACTTCTGGTTGTCCTTCACCTTGTTTAGGAAAGAACATTGCAATGGCTTATTTGAAAAAGGAATGGGCTAAACCTGGAAATATTCTTGGAGTTAGAAGTGGATCAGAAAATAAATTAAACAAAATTACTCAAATAGAGGTTGTTAAGTTGCCTTTTGTGAAGACTAAATATTTTATAAATTAAATATTTTATATTTTCTTTTAGATATTTTGTGACATTTTTTCATTCCATTAACTAATTAATGCTTGTATTACTTACATATTATTCTATCATGCCATAAATTTTTATATTTTCCATAAATTCTAAATTTTCAATAAATTTATCTGTTTTTTAAAATATTTAATTATTTAAAAATGAAATTTATTTTTATTTAATTTTAGATTAAATAAACTATTTTGAAAAATGAGTAAACCAGAATATCAAGGACCACCAGAGGAATATTACAATGAAAAAGAAGCTAGAAAATACACATCAAATAGCAGAATTCAACAGGTTTGACAAAGTTTCTGTGCAGTGGGGCAAGTTTATTAAAAAATTTAGATACAAGCTGATTTGGCTCAGAGAGCATATGATTTATTAGAACTTCCCAAAGATGGTCATCGATTATTATTAGATATTGGCTGTGGTTCGGGTTTAAGCGGGGAAGTGCTTGAACAAAACGGACATAATTGGATTGGTGTTGATATTAGTAGGGCAATGTTAGGTTAATTAATTCTTCATTCTTTTAATTTGTTAAAATTCAAGATGTTGCTAAAGAGAGACATGAAGACGAAGATAATCAACCCGAAATGAATGATTTTGTTCAATTAGATATGGGTGCTGGGTTGCCTTTTCAGGCTGCAGTATTTGATGGCGCTATAAGTATATCTGCAATACAATGGCTCTGCCATTCAAATTCAAAGAAAGATAATCCACAAAAAAGATTATTAAAATTTTTTGAATCTCTTTTTGCGTGTCTTTCTCGTTCAGCTAGGGCCGTTTTTCAGTTAGTTTTTTTAATTAAAATATTTTTAGACTCTTCGTTTTTTCAGATTTTATCCTGAAAATGATTTACAAACAGAAATAATCTGTCAACAAGCAACACGTGCAGGTTTTCAAGTAAGTAATATTTTTTGAAAAGATGTTTAAAAAACTTTATTTAAAAGGGAGGACTTGTTATCGACAATCCAGAATCACAAAAACAAAGAAAACTTTTTCTTGTATTAAGTGCTGGTGTTAATGCAGCAATTAATACAAAAACACAAATATTTAATAATTCTAAAAAATCTGAAATAAATCAATCACATATTGAGGTTATTGGACGAAAAAGGAAATTTAATGAAAGAAAAATTAATAAAAAGAATTTTAAAAAGAAAAAATAAATTCGAAAGTCTATTTTTTTTGTTAAATATTTCTTTGTTAATTTAATTTAAAAAATAAAATTATTTGACTTGTTTATTGTATTACTGTCCAATTGTCGGTGTCATACATATTTTATTGGAACTTTTCTTTAAAAAATATTTTTATTCCATTCGTTTTAAAATTATTATAATTTAAAAATAAAAATTTTTGAAAAGAAAATGGAGGAAATAAAACCTTTTATTAGTTCTGTGTCACAAACAAATGAAACAATTAATGATGATCGTCCTCCTGTTCTTGAAATACAAGAAAATAATTTTAATGTTTCTGAACAACAAGTAAAATTAAAAATATTTCAAATTTAAATTATTTTTTATTTTTAGGGGTCGGATTTGTCATATTTGTTAGGAGGTTTTTTTATTCTATTACTTTCAAAATATTTTTAGATAATTATTATATCGAGAATGGAATTATATATCAAAAAGAAACAAATAATTTAGTTGACATTAAACAAAAAGATTTGAGGCAGTCAAATAATTGTTTTAAACAAATAATTGAAGAGACACCTAATTTTAATTCGAATGTTTGTTGTGGACTTTGTGGTTCTATTCTGACATATGAATTGTTAATAAATGAACATTTGCCGAATATTCATCCAGAAGTTTTAACTAATGGAATTGTTGATCTTGAAGAAATTCCTTATGAAGTTTTAAAAATATTTTTTTGACTAATTAAAATTTACTTTATAGGCCTGGCTTAATGAACAACCATTAAATCCCTCTACTCACAATTCTGTCCGTTCTGGTCTTGGAACTAAATTTTCTCCGCAAAAGGTTATTTCAAATTTTCGACATGTACGGTCAACACGGCAATTACGTCGAATTAGCCAATTTCGAGTTAATACTTCAGAAATGTCAATCCCTGAATTGGAATTGGTTTTACAACGAAAAATGGTTGAAAAATTGGGTCGAAAGGTTTTAAACAATTTTTAAAATTTTAATAAAAAAATTAAAAGATTCCTGTTACTTTGGTAGATAAATTACATGCAAAATGTGGAATTTGTGATACAGTTATTTCTTTAAATAAAAAATTTGAAATTGTTCATTTGGTGAGGCATTTTAATGCTTGGCATCCTTCAACTCATAAATGTGCTGGTACTTGGCCAAATATGGTTTTAATTTATTTAATGATCGAATATTTGAAATAATTTGTTTTGGAGTTGAAAAGGGGTTTTTTATATTTATTTTTGCAAAAAAAAAACTAGTAAATTAATAACTAATTAAAAAATGTTTGGAGTAAAAATAATTTTTAAATTAATTTTTTAAAGGAATCAACTGATAATTGTAAACCTTTAAGTTCTCAAGATTTTGCTGTAATTGATACAAACTCTAATTCTATTGACAATCTTCAATGTATTTGGTGTGGAATGTTTCTTTCAAGGTTTAAATTACCTACAAATTTTTTTTCAAATTATTTAAGTAATGAAATTGGAATGCATTTTCATGAAATTCACCCAGAAGAGGTCGAGGTCCCAAAATGTAATCTTTGTATGCAAGAATTATTGCTTAATGCCCGAATATATGAACGTTTTAGAGAAGATTTTTGTTTGTTTTTTTAATTAAAATAAAAAAGAATTTTCTTTTAAAGGTGTAACAATGCCTGATGAATATACTTTTAGAAGTATTAAATTTAAAAGGGATTTTAAATCTGAACAAAAATTACAAAAAGGTTTTTAAATATTTTTTTGTAAATTTTAATTTTTCTTTAGCAATAATTAAATATTTAAAAAGAATTAGTGAAGGATGTAATCCAGAGGTTGTAGATATTGAGGATTTGGATAATTCTGAAATTGAAGAAAATGAAGAGAGTGATGAAATAAATAATGAATTACCTTCTTGTGAAGTTTTTGCAAATAGTAAAATGATTTGTGGTTTGTTTAGAATTTTTAATAAATTAGAGGGATATACGGAGTATATTTAAGAATATTTTTATATTTTTAGAATAATTTAATTTTAATAAATTCTTTTAGGTCGTCGTGCAAAACCTAAACGAAAATTTATAACTCCAATAGTTCGTCAAGCATTTTTAGAAAATAGCTCTTTTGTTTCTCCAATTACACATTCTCATTGGAAATGTCTTTTATGTCATTTAGATATTTATGCTGCAGTTATAAGTGCCGGCGTGATAAAACATTATAAAAAATTCCATCCAATTCAACTTCCACAAATTCAATTAGAACTTTGCAAAGTTTTTTTTAATAATTTAAAAAGATAATTTATTTAATTTTTTAAGGCAAGATTGGATAAAATAAGTAATAAAAATATGTTAATTTTTGGAAATGAGAGAGACAAACAAAGAGGTACTTGTTCAATTGAATGCCAAATTTGTACACAAATATTTCCAATGACTCCACCTTTTAATATTTGTAGAGCTATTAGACATATAAAAATGAAACATCCAGAAGTTATGCCCGAACATAATAATGGGGGTGAATGTACAAATAAAGTAAATTTTTTTAATTTAAAGATTTGCCGTTTAAATTTTGAGTTGACAAGGGACTCTTGAAATACTTTATCGAATTATGGGCAGCTTCTTCTAAACAAGTCCCTTATAACCAATTTTAGCATAAATATTTACAAAACTAGTTTAATTATAAATCACATATTCGGTTTCTTGGGATTTTGAGCGGTTAGGGGGGTTTTGAATTTTTTGAAAAAATTATGAATAAATTTAAGAATAGTCAATGTCCGATATTAAACTCAAAAAACGTTAAGGAACCCTTCAGTGAAAACCAGTGCTTCGAAATTTCAAATTTGCTCGTACTCGTACTTCGTACCACCTCTTTTTTTGGCCTCGTACCTCGTACCACCCCCATTTTTTTGCTCGTACTCGTACCTCGTACCACCCCTATTTTTGGCCTCGTACCTCGTACTTTTCACTTTTTTTGGCCTCGTACTCGTACTTCGTACCAGGTACGAGTACGAGGTACGAGTACGAATTTTGGTACGAGCTTCGAAGCACTGGTGAAAACCAAAAAATAAATAAACTTTATGGGATGGAAAGAGAAAAGAATTAAATAATTTTGAGAAAATTTAAATAATTTTTAATCTTTTTTTACTTATAGGATACTACATTTTCGCCTCCAAAATTTGATCATTTATCACAAAAAGAAACTTTAAATAAATTAAATATAGGTAAATATATAAACATTTTAATTTATTAAAAAACAAAATTTATTTTAGATAATGAAGATGATATAATTTATGCTAAAGAATTAACAGACCTAAAAACACTAGAAATGTTATCAAATAATTATAATATTTTATTTACTAAAGTATAATTTTTTTAATTAAAAATTAATTAATTTTAAAATTTTTAAGGCTTTCTCAATTTCTAATAAAAATATTAAACAAAAAATATTTATTTTAACACAAAACAATGAAGAAATAAATGCTTTAGATGTTGAAGAAGTTATTAGAGTACGTGACCCTTTATTGGATCCAATGGTGGTTATTCTAAATAAAGTAAAGAATTTAATAAAAATATAAAAAATAAATTTTATAATTTTTTCAGGATGATAAAACAAAAAGAAAATGTTAAATTTGTTAGAACAGAAATACAGAAATAATTGTCGATTTATTTTTTAATTTTTATTTTATGTAAATAATATATTTTGTGTATAATTTTTTTATAAAAAATATTTACCATTTATTCATTTCTTTGTCTATAATTATTTTCAAATGGTTCAGGGAAAGGAGGAAATCCATTACGAATATGTTCAGGGAAAAAATCTTTTGGATGAAAATTCTTTTGCTGATTATTAGAAAATATTAACGGAGGGGATTTTGGTGGTTGAGGGGGAGGGGGGCCTCGTCGATTATTCTGTTCATTTGAAGAATATTTATTTTGATTATTTTCTTCTCTGCTATTTGATGAGGAAGAAGTAGGAGCTACAAATTTTGGTCTATTATGTTTAGGTGTCCAGCGTTCGCGACTTTCAGAATTTGGATATTTAATATTCTCGTTTGATTCTGTTGAATATTCTTTTATTTTACGTTGTTTATTCTACAAAATATTTTACTAGTTATATGTACTATGTCTTGTTTATATTTGAAACTAAAAACACCAACAAATTGGAATTTTAAAAATTTTTAAAAATTATTTAGAATTAAAAATCTTTTATTTTTCCATTTGTTAAATTCAAAACAATATTTTTGTTTTTTCAAACCTGAAAGTTTAATTTTTGTTGATTTTTTGACAATTCTTGTGATTCTCTTTCATTTTCCATTCTTCGGCCTTGTATTATTTCATTACTTTTACTTTTTAAATTAAATTTTTGTTTATTTCCAAATTCTTTTCTTTCATTTTTATTTTCTTCAGAACTTTTTAATTGATGAAATGATGAGGAAGGAGGGATTTTATTTAATTGTTTTTGACTATTTCCTTCTTCTTCTTCATTTTTCCATTGCCATTTTTGTAAATGTTTCATTTCTTTTGATTGTTGATCTCGTTCTTCATTTTCAATATTTTCTTTTTCATTTGTTTTATTTAAAATTCCTCCTCTTTTATTATTTAAAAATTCTTCTGGTTTTGGAAATGTTTCGTTTATTTTTTCTTCTTCACTAATTTGTGGAAGAGAATGGTGGTGACGATAATGTTTTTGTTGATGTTCTGATTGTTGTTGGGGTTGGGGTGCTGGTTGAGATGGACGTCCAAATTGAGGGCCAGGAAGGGATTGTTGAGTTAAAAATGGAGTAAATGGACTGAAGAAAGGAATTGAACGTTGTTGAGGAGAGAAGGGGGAGGAGGGGGATGAGAGATTATCTTTAAAATATTTTTATTTTTTTAAATAAAATTACCTTTTAAAGATTGACATTTAACAAAAAATAAAAATAAAAAAGAATAAAATAATTTAATAGTCATTTTTTAAATAAAAATAAATAAATTGGAGAATCGGAGAGAATTTTTGTATCTTTTTATTTGCAATTATTTAATAAATAAACCAATAAAAATTATTTTATTAGATATTTGTGGGAAAATACTTTCCGGATTTAATAATTTTTAGATATTAAAAATATGTAGAATTAAAAAAATAAAGGCTTATAAAATTATTTTTTTGTTTAGAAATTTTTTTATTTTTTTCATATATTTTTTATTAATTTAATAATTTTTATAAGAAAAGTTTTTTCATCTAAAATTAATAAAAATAATTTTAAAATAATTTCTAACAAAATTACATTTTAAAAAATTTATTTTTTTCTTCTTTTCTGTATTTTTGCCAATTTTTCAGCTTCACACTGTAATTTATATTCAATTTTATACCCAATTTTCATTTGTTCTACACAAAATTCTCCAAGAATTAAAATAGCTTCAATTAAATCTTCTGAGGTATTTTTGTTGCCATTTTCTCTTTTTAATGTTAAAATATCAATTAATGATTGAATAAAACACTTGAAAATAAATTATTAATATTTTATTATTCTCACCTCCCCCCCCCCCTCCCCTAATTTAAAATTACCTTCCAATAAGAACATTTATAAGTAACACCTATTTATTTAAATACTTTTATTTATTTTTTTCTTTTTAAAATTACCAGTATAATTAACATGTCTACCCCCAAGTTGTTGTAAATGTTTAGATAATTTAGTTGCATTTCCAGGATGTGTCATTATATTAATTAATGTTGATTCAAATGTCTTTTTTGTGTTTTTAAATTTAAATAATTTTAAAATTTAAATAATTACTTTAACATGACAAATAAAAACATTATTTTCTCTAATTAAATATTCATCAAAAGGATTACTACTACAAAATTCATTTAAAGAAAAATAATCCAAATTTCGAGAATCTAATTGAAATATTCTCAACAATAATTTTACAGCAATTTCATTTTCATCCTCCCCAACAGATTTTAATAAATTTTTCCAAGCTCTTTTAATTAATCCAATTTGGTGGGGATTTAAATCTCCGTTAATTGCAAACATTGGCTCGGTATTTTGACGTAAACAATTATTTGTATTATTTAAAGAATTTATTGAATTAATAAAAGAATTTGTTGTATTTGTTGTGTTTGTATTGCTACTTGAACTTCTTGAACTTGAAGGGGAATGGGCGGCACTTTTTTAATTAAAAAGAAATAAAAAGTTGAGAATAAAGTTTAATTTAAAAATATTTGTTTAATTAATAATTTTAATATTAAAAATAATTAACAATTAAATAAAAAACCTATTAATTAATTTCTATACCTATATTCCAAACTATGACTTCTTTGACTATTTTGACTTTGATGGCTATATCGACTTTAAAATAAAAATTTTTTTTTTATTTTTTAAATATTTAAATACTAATTTTGATTAATTCTTTGGTTATTATTTCCATTTTTAATTGTAATTCTGGAAGTAGATGATGGAGATTTAGAGCCAAAAGATTCCTCCCGGCGAGGGAAACGGCGTTGAGGTTCTTCTATTATACCTCCAGGGGTCGTATTTCCCATTTGTAAATTTTTAAAATATTTTTAAGAATTTCTAAATAGAAAAAAATCTTTAAAAAATAGAAAAGAAAAAAATACTTTTTAATTAATTAAAAATTAAAATGTATTTTTAATTTCAATAATTAGTAAAAATACTATATCTATCTATGAACATATGTAGCCTAGGTAATAGTGTGGTTTACCCCCCCCCCCCTCTATTTTTTCCTTCTAGAGCTCTTCGATCTGAGTTAACAAAATCTGGCTTAAAATTATCATCAATTGTTTTAATCCATCGCAACACACAAAAAAATTTTCCAGCGAAAATTCATCGTCATAATTTTTTTCAGAATCATCAAATCTCAAAAATATTAATATCATTCAACTTGAGTTCTTTCGAAAAACTATTACCAAATTATTACCGTAGTTTATTTGATAAAAAAATAATTTTTTTAATTTAAAAAACTTTAAAAGTTTTATTTTGTAGATTTGACTTAAAACAAATATTTTTTGGATATTTTACTTTACAAAATTTCGTGCCGTTTTTCTATTCCCCCGAGGGGGAAGAAGAATTTCATTTTTAAAAAAACTAAATAAAAAGAAAAATGAACGGATATTTGGTTTTTAGCTTTCTTTACTCGACTTCTTGGAACGCGTCACTTCCCTTTTGGGAATATTTTAAAGGAAATACTTACAAGAGATTGATTTGCTTTTTTTGTTTTTGTTTAAAACAAGGAATATTTAGATAAATATTTAAATGTACTACTTAAATACAACAATTCCTTATATTAATTAATTTAAAAAATAATTTTTGTAGACTAATAAATTAGAAAACTTTTAAATATTTTTAGAACAATTTTTATTTCATAATTTTATAAAATAAAATAAATAAATTTTATTTAAAGCAAAATTATAAAAAGACAAAAATTGGCAAGAAAAAAACAAAAATTAGGCGCTTTTTGGTAAGCAGAAAATTGAAAACATAATAAAATTGAGCGGAATATTTTTAAATATTCGAGGATTATTTAAATAAATTAAAAGAGAAAATCTAAATTTTGTCTCAATTTAATTTTCGTTTCATATCAACAAAAATTGCTTAACGCCAATTCAACCCAGTTCTTTTTAGTAAACCTTTTGGATTCAATTGTTTAATTATTAAAACTTAAATTAAAATGGTGTTACAAAGGAAAGTTTAATATAAGTTTTACAAAGGAAACTTTCGTAGAAATTGGAATCCAGTTAGTTTTTGGCGCTATATTTTCGTTCTTATCATGGACAAGGAAATTAATTTAACGCTAAGTTCTTGTGGCTATCACCCCAAAAGGTTTAGGCTTTAGGTTTTGGCATGAAACTTTGTTTGGATGAGGAAGTGGTGGAATATATTTAAAAGATTAATTGTATTTAAATAAAAAGCAATCCTCAAATATTAATTAAATACAAAAAAAAGTCAATTATTTATAAGAAATTATTTATAATAAGTTAATTGTGCTAAAAAGTATAAAAACTAAAAGTCAATATATTTAATTATTTAAAACTTTAATTTTAAATTTACAAATTGTCAAGTTCAATCCAAAAATATAAATATACTAGTCAGTAAACACTTTAAAATTATTTTTCTCCAAAAAATATTTCTCATCTTTTTTGTCTTTTGGAATCATAACGAGAAAACATGACACCCCAAATACATAAATTATTTTTTTTAAATAATGTGTCAATTTAAAATTAAAGTTTTTTACAATTAAAATTACAAATTAAATAGGTATAAATAATTAATTAATATAAAATACTCTAACCCGTAATTAAAATATGAGAAACTTTTTCTTTTTTTTAAATTTAAAATCGATGTTGACAATATAAATTATCTTCATTAATTTCTTCATAAATATCAGAATTTCTATTTGTAATTGTTGTTGGGTCAGTAACATAACGAGGAGGAGGAGGTGTGGATATTTCTTCTTCTCCAAGATATTTTTCTTTTCTTTTTCTTTTTTGATTTTTTGAAGAAGAAATAATTGAAAGATTTATTAAATTTGTGGATGTTTTGTTGTTTTTATTTTTTCTTTTAAAAAATTGGAAAGGTAGAAAACGAAAAATAATAAAACAAAATAAAGATAAAAAGGCTAATAATAAAGCTATTAAAGCTAATAATAAACAAATTATGTTTAATAATGATGAATTTTGTTGTTGTTGTTGTTTAGATGAAGATAGTAAACATTTAATACAATCACTAAATTTAAAAATTAATTTTTTGTAGAAAGATATTTTGGTACTATCCGATTATCTCCACCTTTTTCCTTTCCTTTCTTTTTTTTTTATTTAAAAATGATAAAAGTCAAATAATGGTCAAGGAACATGTGCGTGTATATAAATAACTCTGAGTCCCCATTTCCATAATATTTGATGAGAATTCATTTATTTCAAATAGAAGACATAAGTTGGCAATTGTACTAATTGAAAAAGCTGGAGATTCGATGCAGAATTTTACTTTTACTGCATTTTTTAAGCTTGGAATGAGTATGAAAAAAATGGGAGTAGGGGGGGGGGGATAATCGTGTAGTACTTATATTTTTGTTTTAAAATACCTGTTATTATTTCCCCCTCCTTCTTCTTCTCCAATTTGTTTAATTCTTTTAATTTTATTTTGACAAATTTCCCCTTCCCATTCTTCTTTACAATAACATTTAAATGAATTAATTAAATTTAAGCAATTTCCACCATTTAAACAAGGATTTATTAAACAATTATTTATTTTATTTTCACAATTAATTCCAGACCAGCCAATTGGACATAAACAAACATAGCCGTTTTTGTTAAAATTATCTGTTACACAATTACCTCCTTAAATTTAAATTAGAAAAATTAAAAATTTAAATTTCTTTCAAACCATTTTGACAAGGATTTTCACTACAATACCCCCAGGGCAATTCACAAAGAGGGCCAGTCCATCCATCTGGACACAAACATTTAAATGAATTGTTTTGGGGAGTTGAAGAAGAATTTAAGTAGTAGTCAATACAAGAACCCCCATTTTGGCAAGGTAAATCTCTACAACCATTTGGGGCTTTAATTTCACAAAAACGTCCAAAAAGGCCAAGTGAAGGGGGACATAAACAACGAAATCCTGGTGGAGAAAATAACTGAAAAAATTAATTTAAAATTATTTAATATTTATATTCTCTCTAAAAATCGGAATATTTTATGTCACAAATTCAAATATTTAATCAAATTTTATTTGATCAGATAGTTAGTCCAATCTCTACATAATCCCCCTCCTTTTTTCTAAAAACAAACATTAATGCATTTAGCTCCATTATAACAAGGTTCATCTTCACAATTATTCAAAACCTTTTCACAATTAATTCCTCCATAACCAGGCCTACATTTACACGTATAATTCCCTTCTGCATTATTTTGACAAATTCCTCCATTTTGACAGGGAGAATTTTTTGAACAAAAAATTAAATCTTTTTCACAAAACTGCCCTCCTTTCCCTTCCGGACAAGAACATTCCCCCGGCCTTTGACGGCAAAATCCTTTACATTTTGAATTTGGAATACACTAAATTAATTAAAATTATTTAAAAATATTCTCTTTTAAAATTTACTTTTTCACAATTATTTCCCCAATAACCAACAGGACAAACACATTTATTGTCTACACACTTCCCTCCATTAATACAGTAACAATTACTTTGATTATTCCCTTCCATTTTTGTATTTAATAAAACTTTAAAAAATTAAATTTAAAAGGGTCTTTGACAGAAAAAAACTTTTTTGTTCACAATTTAGTCCTTTCCACCCCTTTTTACATTTTTTCACTCCACTTTCATTATCACACTCAATTCTGTCCAAAATAATTTCCAAATCATTTAATTTACAATAAACATCACATCCAGAACCATAAAAATTTTCTCTAAAAATTTTTTTTTGAAAATTAAAAAAAACAAAAATTTAATTTACAGGCAATCCACACCAAAAAGAATTTCCAATTTTCTTCTTTTATTTTTTAAATTAAAATTTGAATAAATTGAACGCCAACCATGGCCAACAGGTAAAGGAAATATTCTTTCTGTTTTTTGTAATAATAATTCTGAAATAAAATATTTGTAAAGGATTAAATATCAACAAATAAATATATATTAACTGTGAAGTACTTAAAAATAAATCCTTTCCCCTTCCACTTAAAGTGATTTTTAGAAACAAAAAGTAAATATTGCAAAAATATTACAATAAAAAAGTGTTGGTTTAAAAGTAAATAAATAAATAAATTTTTAGAAGAAAATTTGTCAAATTTTTTAAAAAAATTTAATTTTAATTAATTTTATCTAAAAATATATTTATTTAAATATTCTGTAACTATTTAACTATTCTCTTTTTATTTTTTTCATTGTAATATTTTTTTTCTTTTATTCTTTTTACAGTTTAGTAATAAAAAATACACAAAAATTCCTCATAAAATGTAAATATCCTTTTAAATGTTTACATGGATATATATTTATGTAGTAAAAATGCAAATTATTTAAAAAGGGAATTAATTAAAGTTGCCGATATTTAAATAGTTTAAATAAATAAATAAATATTTATTTTGAAAAATATTTTTATTAAAAAAGCGGCATTTTTGCCAAAACTTCTTTTTTTCTTTCCAAATTTAAA